AAGTTTATAGATAATTGAACAATTTTTTTTGCATCATGCTAGAAATGTCTTTATAAAAGAATTGAAATGATAAAATTCATCTTGGAAGTATTAGATCAGCCGCTATCTTGAAATGACTAAATTGTCTACAAAGGTACTTTTTGGGATCAGGGTTTAATCAGATTTGCATTATTTAAGTGTATATTATCAATGAACGATTCCTAACATTCGTGTGGGAGCCAATTTTTTAATTTTAATTTTGCTTTCGAGTTATATCCAGTTGATTATTTTTCAATATTGTCCAAAACTTTGAAGGCTCATATATCGTGACCTTGAAATTTGGTGACCTTGTGACCAGCACAAAAGTTGTTGTCTTAGACGAGATCTATCCGAATATGTCATCATTTTTGATATGATTAACTTCCAGTTCTATAGGCAATTGAAAATCGTGATTAATTAACATACAACAAAATTTCTTATATATTCTTAAAGTGCATGATCTCTTCTTTTTAGGGATATTTTGATCAAAATTGCGCTTTTTAAGACTTGAAAATTTTGTACTGATTTCTATAGTAACTGTGTGTAAATTCATAATCTAACGACGGTAACCGCTGCCTTAAAAAACGTGTAACTTCGAATATCTCATGATCTAATGATTGTGAAATTTTGAACATTATTAATGTACACATCATCACAGACAAAATAAAAATTTTGAAGTGGGCTTGGCACATCCGGTGTGCATTTACCTTTACCTGAAATATTTGCAATTGTCATAACTCGATAAGTTTGCAGTTACCCTCCAAATTTAGCATGAAAATAGGTCACTATATAAAACAATTTATGATAAGATTATAGTTTTTTGTGCTCTGTACTTTAAAAGATAGTGGACCACAACCATATACGCCCTTCATGTCATGCAGATGGTAAAAACGAAACATCCATTTTAAGTTTTATCAAAATCGGTTGAAAACTAAGAGAGTTATAGCATATTCAAGATTTTGGGGCAAAGGCAATAACTCTGCATCTAACGGTCGAAAATAGCTCAAATTCGAACTTGATCTTCGTTTTATAAATATGTATACACATACCGAATTTCATTTGATTCTATCAAAAAATCTAGTTTTAAGAGTGTTTACAAGCAAATGTTGACGGACAGACAGACCCACCGATGGACAGGGGTGCCAACAATATACATCCACATAGAGAGATGTGGGCGTATAAAAAGGGAATATGATGACTATTCTTACTTCGATCTTTGATGTCCGATATATACTTCTGGTTTTACAGACGGTCGAAAACAGTAATTTTACGAAATTTCAAAGGCTCATAATACTTTTATTTGACCTTTGGTGATCTCGTGACAGAGTTAGATAGACGAGATCTATCCAAAGATGTCTTCATTTTCTTTGTGCTACGTAAACTTCCACTTTAACAGCCAATCAAATATATTGATTTTTAACTTTGAAGAGCTCTGTCACGTCAATTAACACACGTAAAAATTTCTTAAATATACTTAAAATGCATGATCTCTCCTTTTTTGTGATATATCACACTTTATATTTTGATTAAAATTGTGCTTTTAAATTCACAGTGTCTTTTCAAATATATCTGCATTTGTATTGTGCGGTTTCTATTATTAGTTTTACAGCAGTTATAAAAATTTACTACTGATTGTTAACACTTTTTACTACCCAATGTTATCAAATCAATGCGTCTTTTCACTACCGAACGTTAAGTAGTTTATCGAATTTTTACTATCGAATGTTAACGTTCTTTTATTTCCCTTCAAAATGTTTCGCCACTGTGTCAGGTCGTGCACGCACTGCATCGGACCCGTCCACCGATCTAGTTTTTTTGGGGGTTTTGTTTTTCAAAATTTACATGCCTTCCTGACCCTAGACTACATTAGTTGCAGCACACTTCAACTTCTGTAGTGGCAACCTTGCTAATGAATATAAATTGAAACATTTTTGCAAAACAGGTCACAGGTCAACAGGTCAACATGTGCAAAAAGTCTAAAAGGCTCTAGAAGGCGCATATTTGCATTGATTTTCTTCTTGTTTTCATTTTTACAATCTACCTGTAATTTCTAATCTGATAGCACTTGAAAATTACAAATTCGAAAATTCGTCGCTCACTTTTTTTCCATCAAATATTTCAATTTATTTGCAACTTTTAAAAATTTTATACTTCAATTCCGCTTTTATACAGGAAAGCGACTTAATTTCAAATCTACTTCTGGTTGACTCAAATCCAGATTGATGTCAAACAAAATTCTTCAGCCGATTTTTAAGATAAAATTCAGAACGGAAGTGATAATTTGGCCGCCATATTGAAATATCACTCAATATAGCTTGCCAGGCAAGGTCATATACGCCAACTGGCAGCCTTGATTTTTATCATTTATCGATTCTTCTGATTTTCAATAGGGTTCATCCTTGGGTGATTACTAACACTCATAACATGTTTCATCTAATCCGTCAAGAGTTATGCCGAGTGTTTACGAGCTAAAATTTGAATGCATTTTTAAGAACAAGGGCAGTAACTCATAATAAATATTTTTTAATTTATTTGATTTAGATTAAGGTTCATCCTTGGGTGATTACAAACACTCACACCAAGTTTCGTCAAAATCAAGTCTCAAGAATTGTGCCTTTTAGAGTGTTTATGTGCTAAAAATTGAACGCATTTTCAAGAAATTTCAATTAAAATTTTCAATTTTTCTGATTTTCAATAGGGTTCATACTCTGGTGATTACAAACAACCATACCAAGTTTTGTCGAAATCAGTCAAGAATTGTGCCTTGTAGATTGTTTACGAGCAATTGTGGACGGACGTACCTCAAAAGAAACCTAATGTTAGTTGAAGCGATCTGTTGAATATTCTTTGCGTTTGAGCGATCTAGAGAACAAGACATGAGTTTCAGCGATCTGTTGAGTATACATACGATTAAACTACCTATATCCATTTAATTATAGCAGGAAATCATGTTACGGTTACGATACTTTGTGGCGCAGTTTTAAGCATAAAATCAAAACTGTTACGCACTGCTTCAGTTACTTTTTTAATTTGAAAAAAAAATAATTATCAATTCTGTAATCATTGTTTGCTGCCTTATAGCTTCACGTCTTTCAGCTATGCAATGTCTCTGGTAACTTTTCCTCTTGAAGAGCTTCTTCTACTAAAACCACTGACAATGACTGGTCTTCCCCATACAGCTAGAGAGTTATCTGTTCATTTGGTAGATGCAGAAGGAACACCAAAACCTCCACAGCTTGTAGGTGGTTGAGGGTCAGGGATTGATGGGAGTGATGATGGGGGACTGTCACTAGAACTCTAAAAGTAATATATTTTAGCTTATTGAACAGAACAGTCAGAGAAAAAATACAGTTCTCCATGAACCTTTTATTTAGCATTGGCCTTCAAATTTTGCACTGGAGTTTTAGAAAATACTTAGAATTAGTGTTATGTTTTTTGCACAATGATCAAAATATTCCCAGATAAAAATCATAAATACCAAACAGGTTCCAAGCACACAACAAAAGAATTCTAACCATCACAAAATTGAAACCATTTCACCCAAACGGGGCCCAACTACAATCCATAGCCATTCGTGTATTTTGGTATTCTATTTACAATCCCCAGCACCAAGAAAAGATAGCTTACCAGGCAAGGTAATATACGCCCACTGGTAGCTTTGATTTTGAATAAAGATAGCTTGCGAGGCAAGGTAACATACGCCCACTGGCAGCTGTCAGAAATAATATAACAGTCTTTAGTGACTAAAGTACGAATTTTCTCATATTGAAGAAATTTTATTAGTTTGAATTCAATTATATATATATATATATCATCCTTATTATATATATAAATGAATTCAAACTAATAAAATTTCTTCAATATGAGAAAATACGCTCACTGGCAGCTTTGTTTGAAAATGAACATTGAAGAACAAAGGCAATAACTCATATCAAATAATTTCTATATTTTTGATTTTCAATAGGGTTCATCCTTGGGTGATAATACACAATTCACAAAGTTTCATCAAAATCTATCAAGAATTATGCCCTGCAGAGTGTTTACGGGCTAAAAATTGAACGCGTTTTGAAGAACAAGGGCAATAACTCATATTAAGTATTTTTCGATATGTCTGATTTTCAATAGGGTTTATCCTTGGGTGATAATAAACAATTTCACAAAGTTTGGTCAAAATCCAGCAAGAATTTTGGCATGTAGAGTGTTTACAAGCTAAAAATTGATTGCTTTTTGAAGAATAAGGGCAATAACTCGTATTAAATATTTTTCGATTTTTCTGATTTTCAATAGGGTTCATCATTGGGTGATAATAAACAATTTCAGTAAGTTTTGTCAAAATCTGTCAAGAATTGTGCCTTCTAGAGTGTTTACAAGCAAATTGTGGACGGACGGACCGACGGACATGGGTGACGAATATATACGCTCCACATTTTATGTCACTCATGCCCATCAAGAATTGTCCCTTCTAGAGTGATTACGAGCTAATGATTGAACGCGTTTTCAAGAACAAGGGCAATAACTTAAACTTAATATTTTTCGATTCTTCTGATTTTCAATAGGGTTAATCCTTGGGTGAATACGAACACTCATACCAAGTTTTGTCAAAATCCGTCAAGAATTGAGTCTTGTAGAGTGTTTACGAGCAATTGTGGACGGACCGACGGACGGACATGGGTGACAGCAATAAACACCCCCCATTTCATGTGGTGATTCCAAAAAGAAAAAACAGGCAGCAATAACCAATCACAGAAGAATCATGTGGGCGCATAAAAAGGAAGGGAGCCTTTGTGCTCTTGAAACATGTTGGACTACTTAGTTTTTTCTATAGCAGATTATTTTTTTACCCATGTGTTGTGCTATAGAGTATCCACATTAATTGGATCAACTAAAAATGGACCAGTAAAAAACTTTGTGAAATGGTTTATGTGTCTTCTATTTTATTGAACACCCCATTTCATGTGGGCGTATAAAAATGAGCTAGAAATATGATGTGGGGTCAACGACCTGGACGCAGAAAAGCACGCCTTAGCAATCGCTATGTCGCTGACTGGAAGAGAGCTGTCCAAATTCCGGCCGAATTTCTGGATTCAGACCGTGGTGTTGATATTTTAATTGCCAAATTAGATGTCTTCAAGAAAGAAACGAGAGATGCCACATATGAAGCTTATTTAGAAAATTTTAGAAAAACAGACATGTCAATTGAAACCTACATTATTGAATTCGAAAGATTGAATACCAGACTGGTTAGATATGAAATGAAATTACCAGTATGCTGTGTTGGCATTGAAGCTCCTTGATAATGCTGGTCTCTCCACACAGGAACGTCAAATGGCATTAACTGCAGCTGCAGATTTAACAAATTTAGAAATCTGCTTTGAAGTGGAAATTTGGAGCCAGGTTGCCACATCTAGCGTGAAACTAGAAGTAAATGCTACAGCCAGCTCCAGGCGGTTTTCAAGAGGAAAATATCAAATTTCTGAGAGCAGAAATGATGAGACACTTGAAGATCCAGTTAAAGGAACTAACCCATTGAACAGATTTGACAAGCGTCCAAGATGTCAGTCTACATACCATTGGGCTAAAGACTGTCAACATAAAAAGGAATCAGTCAATATTGCTACAAATAGAGTTGAAGACACTGATGATTAGTGAAATATTACATTGTTAGTGCAACAAACAAAAATCTCAGTCACAGTTTGTATCCAATGAAGAACAATTAGACATTTTTGTAGTGGAATCAAGTGGAGCAGGGGTTTTAGATACAGCATGCACAAAAACAGTTTGTGGTTTACAATGGTATAATGATTACTTATAAGATTGCACCCCAATTTAGTAGGACCTTCAGATTAGGGGATGGTGTCTCTGTAAGATCTTTGAAAATGGTAAAGATTCCCATTGTCATTGGAAGACAAAGGTACATGTTGGACGTTGAAGTTGTGGATACTAACATTCCTCTATTATTGATAGTGTTGAAACAGTTAATCAGTTAACCGATTTTGGGTAGTATTTCACGGGTAACCGGGTCTGATTTGAGATAATCAGTTAACCGTCAATTTTATAGGAAGTAAAAAGAGAGCAATTTTGACAGAAAGTTTGTTACTGTATGAGTCTTTAAGCTGTTTTCTTTAGTCAATAAACATCTTTATTGATTGAATAATTGAGATTAATAAATCAAGATAGGGTATCAATTATCAAAGGGACAAAAGAGTGTATCGACAAGGTGGATTGTGATCATTTGGTCTGAGACAAGTAAACAGTTGGCTGACTTTCCAACAAAGAAAGAGCTTCTTCATTACTGTTGTTAAAAACTCTTGAACAAGGACATCTTAATTTGCAGTAAAAATTTTAGCTTCTTAAAATTGATGGAAAAACAAATAGTTTTATTTTTTTTATTTTCTATATACAGTGGAGATTGTTAACCTCTGTTATTTCTTTACTTACTTGATTTATACAAACCTTAATTACATCTTCTGTTATCTCATATCTTTCATTATTACTTACTTTTACTTTGTTTATATTTTTCAGCTTCCTGTATTCTGATCATGTGACTTCCGTCCGCAAGTTTTGTTTTGGACGCCATTTAAGGGTAATAAAGACTCCATAAACAGTTGGCTGACTTTCCAACAAAGAAAGGGCATCTTCATTACTGTTGTTAAAAACTCTTGAACAAGGACATCTTAATTTGCAGTAAAAATTTTAGCTTCTTAAAATTGATGGAAAAACAAATAGTTTTCTTATTTTCTATATACAGTGGAGATTGTTAACCTCTGTTATTTCTTTACTTACCTGATTTATACAAACCTTAATTACATCTTCTGTTATCTCATATCTTTCATTATTACTTACTTTTACTTTGTTTATATTCTTTAGATTCCTGTATTCTGATCATGTGACTTCCGTCAGCAAGTTTTGTTTTGGACGCCATTTAAGGGTAATAAAGACTCCATGTTTGTTCACATGACCAAATGACGTCATGCTTTAAAAGAATCAGCTGACTAAATTTTTGTATTTTCATTAAATGACCTTTTGTTATTTGGAAGAAGTTTCGGTAAGTTAAAACTAACTTCAATTAATTCATATTGTTTTTTGCAAAATGAATTAAATTGTATTTTTTCTTGGTGCTGGAGATAGTAAATAGAATACCAAAATACACAAGTGGCTATGGATTGTAGTGGGGCTCCGTTAGGGTGAAATGTTTACAATGGTTAGAATGCTTTTGTTGTGTGGTTGCAACCTGTTTGCCATTTTTGATTTTTATCCAGGAATTATTTTGTTCATTGTGCAAAATCATAATACTAATTCTAAGTATTTTCTAAACCTCCAGTGCAAAATTTGAAGGCCAATGCTAAATAAAAAGTTCATGTTGAACTGTATTTTTCTTTGGCTGTTCTGGTCAGTAAGCTAAAATAATTTACTTTTACAGTTCTAGTGACAGCATTTTAAAGCCGTGGTGGTTTTGGTGTTCCTTCTGCATCTACCATAGGAATAGATAAGTCTCAAGCTGACCAAGTCATTGCCAGTGGTTCTAGGGGAAAAGTTACAAGAGGCAGAGGACCATCATAACATAGCTGAAAGACGTGAAGCTAGAAGGCAGCAAACAATGGTAATTTAAAAAGTAACACTAGCTTATGACACAAGGTTTATCAATATACAATAAAAAACAATGAAAACCAGTTACAAACATAATAACTCTGTTTATTTTCAGAATGCAATTAATAAAGTTTCACACGATAAACAATGTGAAATGCATATTACACAATCAAATTTCTGAGTGAAAACTGCACTATATTGAAACAATGTCTACAAAAGGAACTTGAGCTTCATCTTTTGATTTAACCAATATTTTATCAATACATAGAATAAACTTATCAATTACAACATATGTACATTAATATGGACAATTATTTATTTCCAGGTAACACAAAAGTTCTGGATCAACAAGGCCTAGCTATTGGACATGGCTATTTTAGAGTTGAACGCCTACAATGCAACAATGAGGTTCACAGCCTAGATAGAAATTTTACAAGAGTCGTGTTGTTATGAAAATTCACAGAACATTTGGCAGTGCTATTGGCAGATATACAGGATTTAATATAGGTAGTTCACAGTAAGATGTCCAGAATTTTTGTTTAATGCTTTGTCTGATAATGACAAAATTTTACCATGATGTATTGATAAATATTGCAAGAACTAATTTGGAGCAAAAAGTAATTTGTAAGAAAATTTTTTTTCTTCTCAACCAAATCTTTTATAGCTTCTGGTTCAACGCTGGCAATGTACCTATTGATCAGTCGTGGATCACCGGTGTGAAGTGGAAATATTAAGGGAATTGCCCCTGTCAGTTGTTCCAAAATCTTTAAAATATTTTAGCAGCATAGATGGAATGTATGAATATAATTTGGAGTCTCTCACAGGAACAGCACATGTATTCTTTCCCTTTGGATTAAGCTTAGTCTTTGATACCTGAAAGATAAAATGTAAAATATAACATAGGCTTGAGGCAAGTCTCGCAAGCAAATACGCCCCCCAGCAGCTTGATAAAGAGCTAAATGTGAACTGTAAAACAAACTCTATATCGTAGCCTGAGTAGTAGATGAGCTCATAGATTGGTCGCATTTTTCCACATTTCATTTATGGGAAAAATGCGACCAATCTATGAACTCCCAAAAAAAAGACCTAAATTCCCTACATTTCATAAATTCTTACAGCAAAACATCCTACATTTCATAAATTCTTACAGCAAAACATCCTACATTTCATAAATTCTTTCACTTAAAAAAGACCTAAATTCCCTACATTTCATAAAACATCCTACATTTCATAAATTCTTACACCAAAAAACACCTTCAATCAATTTCATACATTCCATCAAAAAAAAGCATATTAAAAATACCCTTATATAAAATAACATTCTTGTTTCGCTTAACATCCAGTTTTTAATAGCCTCGTTTTAAGTAATGTTATTTTTAGTCTAGAAGGGAGATAACTCTTGTTTTGGATAAAAAAACAGACTAAATTAACTCATTTAAAAATAGGATGAGTTTAATTCTAAAACACGAACAACACAGATTCGAAGATTATTCGGGCGACGGTATCTATTCATCAATATTTTCTCTAGGTTCAAAAATAATTCCAAAAGTAGCTAGCTTTGTTTCAAAAAACAAATCACACATTTCAACTGGAGCGAAAGCCGTCGGCTCAATCGCGGAAGCGGGAAAGAGTATAAGTGGCGCAGTGAAACAATCTAACGAGTTGAAAGAATTACAACTAATAAGAGATCTACGAAACAGGAGATTAGAAGAAAGGAAAGGAAAAGGTTTTAAAGTTATAGGATAAAAATGATATTCGCTCACGCTCCAAAAACTTATTTTGGTTCAGATATACAAAAATCATTGGGTTCTCATCCTGGATTTCCATGGGCGAAATATCCCGGAGAAAAACATCGTCCCGGTCATAATTACACTGATCCAGGTACTAGATAAACCCAAACCGAAAACGATAAACCTAAAATGGGTGAAAAACCAGTCAATAGAGTTGACGCCGCTGCGCTTAAACACGACATACTATACAGAAACAAAGACATAAACTTCAGAGACGAAGCAGACATACAAATGATAATCGAACTTGAAAATATTCCAAATCCAACTTTCAAAGAGAGAATGCAAAGGGCTCTGATCATAAAACTGTTAAAAGCAAAGATGAAATTAGGCATGGGATTGGCAGATGAAATTCATAAAGAATTTAGAAAAACTAAAAACTTTGAAAAGATGAAATATGGTCAGCCGATTTAATTCATATGCCAGTCGAAAGAGGATTTAAATATTGCTTAACAGTTATAGATTTGTATACGAGATATGTATGGGTTATTCCTTTGAAAAACAAAACGGGATTATCAGTCAAACACGCATTTGAAACGATTATGAAACAATCTAACCGACATCCAGAAAAACTGTGGGTAGATAAAGGAAGTGAATTTTATAACAAAAATATGAAATCTCTGGGATTTGAAATTTACAGCACGCATAACAAAGGTACAGCTGTAGTAATAGAAAGATTTAACAGGACTCTAAAAAATAAATTATTCAAAAAGTTCACGGAATTGAAATCTCAAAAATGTCTTAAAATATTACCAGAGGTTGTAGATGAATACAATAACAAAATTCATTCATCTATAGCTGTCACACCAACACAAGCCTCGAGTAATTCAAATATTATAAAGTCAATTACGCGCAACATAACTACGAAAATGAAATAAAGAATTTAAATATCAAACCCAAATTTAAAGTCGGAGATCGAGTTCGTATTTTCAAATATAAAAGCAAATTCGAAAAAGGTTACGTTGAATACTGGACAAACGAAATATTCATCGTTGATAAAGTAAACACCACATCACCTCCGACATATGAATTAATCGATCAAGACAAAGAACAAATCATAGGAAGGTTTTATCAAAACAAACTTCAAAAAACCGACTTTTAAAAATGAATGAAGAAGAATTTGATAGAAGATTAAGAGATGTAGACAAGCATTTTCGCTTTCTTAAATTTAAATTAATGTTCAAAATATTATTGAATGTGTTTTATCAGAATGTAATACAATTTTTTTCAAACACAAACTACGTATATATTTAAAAAAAACAACTTTTAAAAATGAATGAATTTCTCGATAAATATGGAAGTGATACAACCACAAACTTTCAACTTATGAGATGGGCGAAAGAGTTAGGGTTATATCACCGTTTTATTATTGTATGAGAGATGAAATAAATGATCTGAAATATAAAAAAGGTAAATTTTACGCGATAACAAATATACATACTTCCAATCAAAAAGGAGTTCATCATTCTGCTTTGTACAAAGACTCTGACTTATATTTCTTCGATTCTTATGGATTAGAACCCACTGAAGAGATAGTGCAATTGACTAATCAACCAATTAAATGTTCCACTTTTCAAATTCAATTACCTAAACAAAAGTTTTGTGGTCAGCTTTCAATTTGGGTTTTATATCAGTTGAGTTTAGGAAAACAGTTCGAAGAAATTGTAATAAATTTAACTCAATAAAAATGGCAAATAAGTTTGGATTAGGTTCTTTATCTTTAGAAACTAAAAAACCTAACACTACAGCGTGGATAAATAAAGCGAAACCTTACTTTGTGGATCAAATCAGAGCTACTCTTCAAGGTGATTTAGATATGAACAATTTCAAAGTAACTAATTTAAAGTCTCCGGAAAACGATAATGACGCTGTTCACAAGAAATATTTACGGGAACAAATAAATTCAATTGAAGTAAATAAAAACCATTTAGAAGATAAAATAAGTAATGTGAAAAGATTCTTCAAACGTCAACTACATAATAAAAATTTTGTTAAAGAGTATGGAAAGTCTTAATATGGTGTACTTTTGTATTTGATAAATAATTAATGATTGAATTGAATGCCACTATCCTTTTCGTGGAAAAAAATTCGTGAGGGTGAAAAAGTGATATTTTGATGGAAAATCGATGATTTGTACGGAAAACCACGAGCACGTTCCGGAAATATCCGAATGTATGCTAATGTATGCGTGACGTAAATTATGGACTTGACGCGGTGGTTTCTGGGAACGCTACACTGACAGATAAACAATGTGGCGGGCGTTATGTATTATAATGAAAACGATTCGTCAAGCACTCACAGTTCATCTCATTCTGAAGACGAAGAAGATGAATACGAAATGTTTGGGGGTGTGGTGGACTACCAGTTCGAGCCAGTTAGGCGTCCTCGGGAAGGGGTGACTGACAGTGAAAGGCCAAACCAGGAGGATGACACTGCCGAAATTCATAAAAATGGAGATCGATTGGGAAATAAATTTATAATGACTGGTTCATTTTGTACTAAAAATCGCCCGCTTCAAAATATTCATATCTCCTCTCGATGAAAAACAGAATTAAAATATCTTGATAAGTCTGGAGAAATATGGTCGTTATTTGTATGAATTCTTCACTCATTTTATAATACATGTAACTTAATTATAATTTATTTTAAAGATAAAAGGTAATTTTCATAACATCATGAGTTCCTACATTGCCAAGTCTGAATTGGTAAAACACACACATCGGATAGACCTACCAATTAATGATAAAGTGAAAGTAGACCTTCTGATCAAATAATTCAAATAATATGAAATTATCCGCTCAAAATATACTTTAAATTAAGAAATGATAGTTTTTAATCATTTATGAGTTTAGTGTTTGATATAAACTGAAATTTCATGAAATCAACTTCATTTTTCGCTTTTGTTACCCTTCAAAGGTGTTCCAAAATGGCCGCCATTACCACCGTTTTATGCTGGAAAATTGATATTTCATCTTTTTGGCTAAGTTTAAATGCCGATTTTTTAGTATTAATTAAAAATAGGAACCTATAATATATTTCTAATGGGGTCTCATATGCGAATCGAATTTTAAAACACTTTTCTGGCTATGTAATCTTTCCAATTTAGAATATTTTCTATAAAAATAAAGAGTTTTGAAGTGAAATAAATAACAGACTGAGAGTTTTCAGTCGGCACCTTGAAGTCGGCCCTTTTCAATTGTACGAATTTGACCCATACCAGCGTTTTTTGGAAAGCCGTGTTAACTGTTTTCTTTACAGGTATAGCTGCAAAATTGCGCGACACCGAGCTTCGGCATTTTGATGTAAATATTGTAAACATTAACGTAGCCTATCAAGGTTATGAGGTTAACGATGGTTCCAAAAATGACGTCATGTGGTCATGTGATTAATACAACATAATGGCGGACTGTCTTTGTAAACAAACGGGAATTAAACACAAATCGTCTTTGTTTTACTTATACATGTATCTTAATTATCGATTATAAGATTGGAATTGGATACAATAGGATATATAGAAACATTCACGGTAGGTGTCAAGTGGCCCATAATTGACTTTCCATACACTTTAATGATACTAAACTACAACAAGAGGTACAAAGATTAATAAGTTTTATTCAAAAAGAATTGGTCAACGAAGCGAATAAAACTGAGTTACAAAATTTAATTTCATTAATATCTAAATTAGAGGATAAGATTGCAAAACAAAAATTAGACATTCAACAATTAATAGATAACATTCCAGATGAAAATGAAGATACATTTCAACAGGAATTAAATGCTCTGGAAACTAAACTTAACAGTGAATTACAAAAAGAACTAACAAATATTAAACAACAAAAACAAAACATAGACTAGAGCCACTCGTGGCCCAAATGGGACTTTGCAAATGTAGCAATGAAAAAACACCCTGAAAAAATCAACCATCGACGATAATTAGGTCAAGCGCAAGAACAAGTCTAAAGTTGATAATTTTTTAATTTTTAGAAGATTTTAATACCGGAAGTAGACGTCAGACCTCACAAATGAAAGTATCAGCAGATAGCCAAGGTGAATGACCTTTGATCTTGTAAAGGAGAAGGTCTAAAAAGGTCAAGATCAAGAGATATCCGTCATCAAAATTTCTAATTGCACACGACTATAAAACCGGAAGTTAACATAGGACATCAAATATAAAAGTATCTATAGATAGCCAATGCCAATGACGTTTGATCCTACAAAGGTCAAGGTCAACAAAAGTCAAGGTCAAAAATTGAAAATTTTGAATTTCCAAAACCTGTTCCTTTTTTTCAACAATGAAGCGGAAACAACCGAACTTCTAAGACAAAGTGGCTCAAAATATGAGATAATTGTATGCAAAGTTCCATTTTGAACAAACGTATACTTTGCGAGTTATGCTCCTGGCCAAATATGTCAATAATGAGTAATATAACCCAGATGTGCCATGCCCACCTTAATTTTTTTTCATAGGTTAATTGATATTCCAAATGTTATGTTGTGTTTTAAATTTCAAGCTTCTACATTATTCAGGTCAAAAGATATAGGTCAACAAATGTCAACAAAGGTAAAAATGTTAAAACCCGTTCCTTTTTTGGAACTATAAAGCTGAAACAACTGAGCTGTTAACAAAAACTGGCCAAAAGGATGAGGTAATTGTGTGCAAAGTCCCTTTTTTAACAAACGTATCCTATGCGATTTATGCCCCAGCCCCAAAATGCAAACAATCAGTAATTCAACCCGGATGTGCCATGCCCACCCCAATTTTTTTGTCATAGGTGAATTCATATTCAAAGTGTCTAGTTGTATTCCAAATATCAAGGTTCTACATAAAATAGGTCACAAGATATACATACACCAAGATCAAAAAGACACAAATATGGTAAAACAAAACTCAAATTTGAAAAAATCACCAATTTCAATTTTGCTTTAAAAAAGCAATTGTTCTATATCTATGTAAAGTGCATGAGAAGCACATTAGGAAACCGAAAAAATTAACCCTCTAGGTTAATTAGGTCACGTGCTCGAGCAGTCCAAAGTTGCCATTTGGCTTTTTACGGATAGCTATAAAACCGGAAGTACATGTCGGGGGTCAAAGGTCAAAGTATCAAATGATAGCCAAGGTCAATGACCTTTGTCTCTATAGAGGTCAAGGTCACGAGATAGAACTTGCAAAAACTTCAACCGGAAGTTGCAAAAAAGGAAAAGCGAAATTCAAAAATCGGCTTCCTTGTTGGCAATCGATTGTAGATTACATACACATCAAAATTATACACGCCCATTTCTTCATAGAGGCCCCATTTTTCGTGTGTTTTTTCAATATGGCGGCCGAAGTATCACTTCCGGTCTGGATTTTATTTTAAAATCAGCCATAGAATTTTATTTCCTAAAGATCAGCTAAATTTTGTTGAACTACATAAATTACACCGGAAGTTATTCAACCGGAAGTAGATTTGAAATTCAGTCGCTTTCCTGTTCAAAAGCGGAAATGACGTACAAAATTTGCAAAACAATCGAAAAATTTGATCGAAAAAAGGAACACGTCGCCACTACAGAAGGTCTAGAGAAGTTGAATGGTTGCTGCAACTACTGTAGTCTAAGCTCAGGAAGGTGTGTAACTTTCGAAAAAAAAAAAAAAAAAAAAGAATTGACATTTCGATAACAAACTGGGACTTTGCTCAAAGCAAAGTCCCACAATAATAGCGAAATCAAAACCTATATTCATCAACAAATACAGAACATTGATGATAGTGTTATTCAACAAAAGATAACCACTATTAATAACCTAGCTTTGAAACAGGACAAAAATATACTCGCATTAGAAAAAAAGGTTCTCAAGAAAGAATCATATTATTTGAATCTTCCATTTAGAAATTTGGGTTTTTTTAGTGCTTCTATTACTAATAATATTGATAAATCAAAAGACTATGAATATAAAACATATGGATTTACAGCAAATATTAGAGTATATTTTGTTCCAAATTATACTATTCACCCCAATTATATTTTTGATAATGATGATGATATACCTTATGGTCCAATAGAATTTACTTTCCGAGGAAAACTTATAATTGAAATAACTTTTCCCATTCAGGTAAAAGTTGAATCAATATTCTTCAGACAAAACTCATATTCTTATAATGCAAAATTTAACGCTCATAAAGTTCTTCAGTTTATCAATGGTACAAAAAATGTAGAAACTAAAGAATTTGAAATTAACGGAAATTAAGTGGAAAATATATAGATAAGTTTAGAGTGTTAATCATACCAGATAAAGAAGAAAATGAATTTACATTGAGTGATTTTGATATGATATTGGAGACGGAAAGTCCACCATCAATGAATATTATTAGAAATCCAGAACCAGAAAAAAAAGATATAAGCAGTTATGAGTTTTACGAACGACAGACTTTGAATACGTAAAACTATATTTTGTTATTAATGATATATTCACCTCAATTGATATTCATAAATTCAACAAAATCAAAAAATGTTAACAAGAGATGATGCATATGTTAATATATCAATCTCTATTAGAAAACCAAAATTTTCAGTTCATCTGAATAAGATTAATGATTCGAAAGAACAAATATCGTTAGTATCTGTTCAAGTTATTATTAATAAACACATAGCAGCTTTATCAGAAGTTCACTTAATTTAATTACCTAAAAAATGGAACTTGAAAGTAGACAACAATATATGATAGAAAAACAAAACGAACTAAAAGAAAAACTAAAACAATTCAACAAATGTAGAAAAACATGGAGTAGAATCGATTCTGTTTTCAAAACATTAAGTACAGTTTTAACAGTAGGGATAACAGTGGCAACAGCCGTAACCGGTGGATTAATGAAAGCTCATTATAAAAGGAAAACAGAAATTTTAAATACATATCTTAATAAATTTTTTATATTTTTCGAAAGATCGAGAGAAGACAAGAACATAACAGTTGAAATCAAATGAACTTTTTTACGATGTTATTAAGCTTATCACTGATGAATTTACAACATTTAAAGGGCAAATTGAAATCAAGATGGAAAATACAAACAAGACATGAAATTTGTAGGTTTTAATACCAAAACCTTTGTCAATTTCTTCACTGCAGTGGATAATAAATCGGATGCTTCTGATTGGTATTTCAAAGGAAAAATGATTTTCCGTAAAAACAATTTCAAAGAAATAAAAAGACCAAAAAAGGGTAGTGGTGTTACCCTACTCAAAAAGATAAATGAATATATCGGTATAAATTGTTATATACCGAGCGATGGATATTGCTTTGTAAAGTGCGTTAATCGTGTTTTAAACGAAGACTACACAAGAGATTTTCAAGATTTCATCAACAGTTTTTCAAAATCAAACAGAAAAGGAGTTATGACAACTGCTAGAATCTGTGAATTCAATAAGAAATTTAATACTTATTTTCAAATTTATATGCCCAAACATAGACATTTTCAACCAAAGAAAGTATCCAAAGAATTAGATTGGGTTTTTTATTTACACAAAGAACATTTCTGTTTGATAAGAAGAAATAACAAAACCTTAGGCATTAAAGAAATAGAAGATAATTACGATGAAAACGTATGGAGAACTTGTAGAGATGATAATGCGATAACGCAAGTTTCACCTCTAAAACTAAACGTTTTTCCAACCATTCACGATGATTTTTTATACGCATGGGATTGCGAAACCTATAACGAAAATAAAGCCATACCTTATTCTTGCACGTTAATTAATTTAGAAAAACTAATCAAAAACGAACACAATGCCCTTTTAAAACGCCCAGAGGAATTCTGTCTCTACCTTTAACTAATTCATTCACTGATGAAGATTTACAGAAAAAATGGAAAAGACAAAGAAATAAAGGGTAACTGTAATTATTTGCAAAATACATAAAGTATTTACATAAAAAATTATGTAAAGTACATAACAGATACTATACTTCTCGCCCATCGGGCGAGTTATTTTTTCTAATTTCAGATCAGAATAAGAACAGAAGAAAACCCAATATCAAGACCCTTAATCCTAATTTCTAAATAAAGTGTCTGCTCCACCCTAGGCCTGTACATTTGGGAGAATCAAACCCTCCCTTCCCCGAAATCTAATTATTTGCAAAATATTAATTTCATATGTTCCTATCAACACGAATCATCTAGTTTGGCAGCATGGGGAAATTCATCTAAAATCTACCAATGAATTTGAGAAAGATCGAGGATGTTAATATTGCAAAATACACTAAAGATAATTGGGAATCTTTAAGACACGAATGGGAACCTTAAGCTAAAAGAGATACGTTATGTCTCGGAGCTTGTTTGATAAAATACAATCAAGCAATGAAAGAAGTTGTATTTCAGAATATTTCCAATAATCTAACGGCTCCTTCTTTATCTTTAAAGGGTTGGTATTATTTATATCATTACGATAAAGAAATGATTGAAGAAGAATGGTATGAAACTACTAGAATGGTTCCGAAACACACCGAAAAAGAAAATGTAGAAAAAGTTAACTCACATACTCACCCTTTTATAAGATATTTTATAAGTATTAAAGGAGGAAGAGTTTCGGCAAATCGAAAATCATTTGAAACGAATAAAATGGATGAAATTTGTAGTATATTAAAGGAATACAATGCAAGTGACACTGATAATATAATTGATTTATTCAAAGAATATAGTGATGGCACGAAAGATAAAACGGAGCTTCATTCGAGACTTAAAAAAATAAAATGTATCAAACTAATGGCCTTTGATGCTAACGGTTTGTATGCTTCCGCCATGTCGGATTTAGACAGCGAATATCCGAGAGCGGAAAGTGGTAGATCATTTCTACCGGAAGAAAATAAAGAATTTGTCAAGCTCTTTAATGAACAGAAATTCAGACCTAGAACTGCTATTTTAAAAGTCTGGTGTGAATATCCCAAAAATATGTTCTTCCAACCCATACCAGCTAAAGATAAAATCACTTTCACGAATAAAGAAGGTAAAAAGGAAACTGGCACTAAAATCAGATTCAGAAATGGTTTCTGTCACAACGTTTTAACATCGGTCGATATTCAAGAAATAGTGAAAGCCGGTGGACAAATTATTAAAATATTAGATGGTATAGTTTACGAAGAAAATTTTAAAACTCCACCCTATAGATATTATATTTTAATTTTGACGTTGTATGGTAAATCTATTCAGAAGGATATAACTACATCGAGACATCTATGGAGTGAAGCGACTTTAAAAGCCAACTATGATTCACACTTCAAAAGCTATGAAAAAGTAAATGATAGTATAGTTGAGATAAATGAAGAAGAAAAAGAATTTATTCCTCCTAAATCTACAAGACTAACACCTAGTCATTTGGGATCATTTGCCCATTTTTTATTTTAATTTGTTCCAAAAATCACTCCTTCTCCTTTATACTTTGAAAGAAATATTCCTTCTCCAGTGTGTATATTTTTTTTAAATTTTCCATTACCCTTATGTTTGACTTTGACTTCACCCGTGTCAATACTATCTACTAATTTATTTAATCCTTGTTTAACAGTTTTCTTGGTTCTTCCCCAAATCTTTTTCCAAATTCTTTTATTGTGCCTATCATTTCTCCCACTCCTGAACCTTGTGCTTCCTTTTCCATTATTAAATTATGTCTGCGTTCTTCAGCGGCTTTAGCATCAGCTGCTTTCTTTGCGTTTGCAGATTTGACTGCGGCAGATATTCCACCAGTTGCTGCACCCGCCGCTGCAATACCACCAAATATTAAAGGTAAAAGGAAAGGTAAAAATCCACCTTCTTTTGAGTTTGCGTCAATTCTTTCTAAATCTATATCATCTCTAACTTTACAATATTTATATTTATCAATAAGTTTTTAAGTTATGTTGATTTTTTTACCATTGAAAGTTATTACAGTTGGTGAAGCTGTTTCAATAGCTTCTATTATTTTCATAACTAAAGTTTTTGCTTTCATTTTTAAGGGTGTATTTTTTACTCAATTCTTATCACTCTTCTATCTGCTATTTTAATTAAATGTTTTGCTTCTTCCAATAATAAACAATAACCTGTTACATCTCCTTGTGTTTTTTCAATATGAATATTTATGTTGACTCCTGTTTTGAAAAGATCTTCTTGGTGAGCTGATAGATCAAAACAGAAGATTGGATGATTAAGTGAAAAATCTACATATTCAAACTGAGGTGGATTTCCAAATAATTCACACATATTTTTATAGTTTCTATACAATTCATTATAATCCTTTGTGGTTGGATTAATTGTTAAAGGTTGGTTAGGATAATTATCGTTTTTTTTATCTTACTTGAACTTTATGGATTAAAGAAATTATTGTTATTCGTTTGAGAATCTGGTAAGTTCTTGAAACCAACCATTAAATATCTTGCTGGTTTAATAGTGTTAGTGATTGGCCATGTGGCGGATTCTCCCGTTAAAGTCATGCTACCTACCGTGTTACGATGAAGAAAAGCTATTTCAATATCTTTAGTTAATGAGTTGAATATTCTCGTTTCTACTTCATTTGATGATGTTATTACGGGTATGAAAAGTTGGAGATTCGTTATTTCTAATTTTGCATCTGAACCATTCTCTTCAAAAAATATCTTATCATCGTTGATTTCTCTTTGTAGATGAATTTTATATGGTAACCCTATGGAAACTTTTCTATGTTCCAACAGACCAAATAAAGGATATAATTTCCAATTTACGTAATTACCCCACCTATTATTCTCAACAATATGATTGTACTGAAGTACTCGTTTTTCGAATCCATGATTAGCTGCTCGTGCTACTCTTTCTATTGTGTTTCGAGCAAAAACTATCACTCTAGCTAAATCAGCATCATTTGCAAGATTTCTTACCGGTTCTTTTAAAACACTTCCATTCCCAACATCGGGTATCCAACCTGAGACTGAATCGAAATCTTTAGGATATAAAACTGTTTTCAACATTGTGTCGAATTCCCCAGGATGTTTAATTGTTTCTATCGGATTTGAGCCAGCTTCCAAAACCATCTCGCTAAATAAAGATAGAAAGGAATTGTTTTCTAACGTTGTATTAGTGGAACTTGATTCTGAGTTTCATCTTTTATTTTGAAATCGCATCGGAAATAAGCATCGGAAAGAAGCAACCAATTCGATAATGAATTTATTTCGAAGGTAATTCTACCACCATCATTCAATTGGGATTTAGAACGAACAGTCGGTGAGATGATAATATAATCCTCTTTTTTCTTATTAAATGAATAACGAATCGGATCGTATAATCTAAAGATTGGATCTAATATTTTATTTGCCATTTTTAAGGTTTAAAATTTGAGTAGAAAATTTCCAAAAAAGAGTTATCTCCCTTCTACATTATTTTAATATGCTTTTTTGATGGAATGTAGGAAATTGATTGATGGTGTTTTTTAGTGTAAGAATTTTATGAAATGTAGGGTATTTTATGAAATGTAGGGAATTTAGGTCTTTTTTAAGTGAAAGAATTTATGGAATGTAGGATGTTTTTTTTGCTGTAAGAATTTATGAAATGTAGGGAATTTAGGTATTTTTTTTGGGAGTTCATAGATTGGTCGCATTTTTCCCATTTTAAGTGTCATCAAAATCGGTTGAAAACTAAGAGAATAATAGCATATTCAAGATTTTGGGGCAAGGGCAATGGTTGAAAATAGCTCAAATTCGAACTTGATCTTCATTTTTATACGCCCACATAAAATGTGGAGCGTATATTGTCGTCACCCATGTCCATCCGTAGGTCTGTCCGTCCATAATTGTGAACACTCTAGAAGGCACAATTCTTGACGGATTTTGACGAAACTTACTGAAATTGTTTATTATCACACAAGGATGAATCCCTATTGAAAATCAGAAAAATCAGAAAATATTTAATACAAGTTATTGCCCTTGTTCTTCAAAACGCGTTCAATTTTTAGCTTGTAGACACATGCCAAATCTTGCTGGATTTTGACAAAACTTAGTGAAGTTGTTTATTATCACCCAAGGATAAACCCTATTGAAAATCAAAAAGATCGAAAAATATTTATTATGAGTTATTGCCCTTGCTCTTCAAACCACGTTAAATTTTTAGCTTGTAAACACTCTACATGCCACAATTCTCGCTAGATTTTGAAAAAAATTGGTGAAGTTGTTTATCACCCAAGAATAAACCCAAATGAAAATAAAAAATATCGAAAAATATTTAATTATTGGTTAATTATTAGTTATTGCCATTGTTCCTCAAAACGCGTTCAATTTTTAGCTCGTTAACACTCTACAGGCCACAATTCTTCATGGATTTTGATGATACTTAGTGAAATTGTGTATTATCACCCAAGGATAAACCCTATTGAAAATCAGACATGTCGAAAAATATTCCATTTGAGTTATTGCCCTTGTTCTTCAAAACGCGTTCAATTTTTAGCTCGTAAACACTCTGCACGGCACAATTCTTTATGGATTTTGATGAAACTTTATGAAATTGTGTATTATCACCCAAGGCTGAACCCTATTGATATAGAAAATTATTTGATATGAGTCATTGCACTTGTTCTTCAATGTTCATTTTCAAACTGCTAGTGGGCGTATTTTACCTTGCCTGGCAAGCTATCTTATGAATGTGTATACACATACGGAATTTCATTTGATTCCATCAAAAAATCTAGTTTTTAGAGCGTTTACAAGCAAATGTTGACGGACGGACGGACAGACCGACCGACAGACAGGGGTGCCGGCAATATACGTCCACATAGAGAGATGTGGGCGTATAAAAATCAACGGTTCATCAACAAATTCAATAGTGCACATATTCATAATGATATTGACACACATACAAACAATCAAAAGAATCCTTGGAAAATTGTAGCCTGTAGAGTAGGCACGAGTAAAATAAGTGAATAAAAAACGAATGCGATATCAGAGTTTTATACGATATTTCTCAAGAAAATCATCGGATCATCACCAAATTCAATAGTGCACATCTTCATAATGATATTGACACACATATAAAAGATCAAAAGAAAGTAGTACTAGAGCTTACATATTGGTTGCACGGGGATTCACCATTCCATTTCATTTCATGGGGAAAATGCGACAAATATGTAAGCTCCCAAATAAGACCTAAACACCCTACATTCCATCAATTCCCTCCCAAAAAACTTAAACACCCTACATTTCATAAATTCTTTCACTAAAAAAAGACCTAAACCCCCTATAAATTATTACACCTCAACTCCCTTCATTTCCTACACCAAAAACACCTTCAATCAATTTCCTACATTCCATCAAAAAAAGCATATTAAAAATACTCTTATATAAAATAACATAACATTTTTAATAGCCTCGTTTTAAATAATGTAGAAGGGAGATAACTCTTTTTTGGAAACACAATTTCTTCGTTAAATTAACTCATTTAAAAATAGGATGAGTTTAATTCTAAAACAAGAACAACACAGATTCGAAGATTATTCGGGCGACGGTATCTTTTCTTCATTATTTTCTCTAGGTAAAACAATAATTCCAAAAGTAGCTAGCTTTGTTTCAAACAACAAATCACTCATTTCAACCGGAGCGAAAGCCGTTGGCTCAATCGCGCAAGTGGGAAAGAGTATAAGCAACGCAGTGAAATAATCTGACGAGTTGAAAGAATTACAACTAATAAGAGATCTGCGAAACAGGAGATTAGAAGAAAGGAAAGGAAATGGTTTTTAAGTTATAGGATAAAAATGATATTCGCTCACGCTCCAAAAACTTATTTTGGTTCAGATATACAAAAATCATTGGGTTCTCTTCCTGGATTTCCATGGGCGAAATATTCCGGAGAAAAACATCTTCCTGGTCATAATTATACTGGTCCAGGTACCAGGTTAGATCTGCGACTAGACGAAAATGATAAACCCAAACCGGGTGAAGAACCAATCAATAGAGTTGACGCCGCTGCGCTTAAACACGGCATACTATACAGAAACAAAGACATAAAATTCAGAGGCAAAGCAGACAGACAAATGATAATCAAACTTGAAAATATTCCTAATCCAACTTTCAAAGAGAGAATGCAAAGGGCTCTGATCATAAAACTGTTAAAAGCAAAGATGAAATTAGGCATGGGATTAGCGGATGAAATTCATTAAGAATTTAGAAAAACTAAAAACATTTTAAAAGTTAAAGGGTTTGAAAAAGATGAAATATGGTCAGCCGATTTAATTCATATGCCAGTTGAAAGAGGATTTAAATATTGCTTAACAGTTATAGATTTGTATACGAGATATGCTTGGGTTTTTCCTTTGAAAAACAAAACGGGATTATCAGTGAAGCACGCATTTGAATCGATCATGCAACAATCTAACTGACATCCAGAAAAACTGTGGGTAGATAAAGGAAGTGAATTTTATAACAAAAATATGAAATCAATTGGGTTTGAAATAGCGAAGGTAAAGCTGTGGTAATAGAAAGATTTAAAAGGACTCTTAAAAATAAATTATTCAAAAAGTTCACGGAATTGAAATCTCAAAAATGGATTAAAATATTACCAGAGGTTGTAGATGAATACAATAACAAAATTCATTCATCTATAGGTGTCACACCAACACAAGCCTCGAATAATCCAAATATTATAAAGTCAATTAACGCGCAACATAACTACGAAAATGAAATAAAGAATTTAAATATCAAACCCAAATTTAAAGTCGGAGATCGAATTCGAAAAAGGTTACGTTGGATACTGGACAAACGAAATATTCATCGTTGATAAAGTAAACACCACAACACCTCCGACATATGAATTAATCGATCACGACAAAGAACAAATCATAGGAAGGTTTTAGCAAAACGAACTTCAAAAAACCGACTTTTAAAAATGAATATCTTTCTCGATAAATATGGAACCGATACGACCACAAACTTTCACCTTATGAGATGGGCGAATGAGTTAAATATATCTCCGTTTTATTATTGTATGAGAGATGAAATAAATGATCTGAAATATAAGAAAGGTAAATTTTACGCTATAACAAATATACTTCTGATCAAAAAGGAGTTCATCATTCTGCTTTGTACAAAGACACTTCAAATGACATATATTTTTCGATTCTTATGGATAAGAACCCACTGAAGAGATAATGAAATTGACTAATCAACCAATCAAATGTTCTACCTTTCAAATTCAATTACCGGGACAAAAGTTTTGTGGACAGCTCTCACTTTGGGTTTTATATCAGTTGAGTTTAGGAAAACAGTGCGAAGAAATTGTAATAAATTAAACTCAATAAAAATGGCGAACAAGTTTGGATGAGGTTCTTTATCTTTAACTAAAAAACCTAACACTACAGCGTGGATAAATAAAGCGAAACCTTACTTTGTGGATCAAATCGGAGACACTCTTCAAGGTGATTTAGATATGAACAATTTCAAAGTAACTAATTTAAAGTCTCCGGAAAACGATAATGACGCTGTTCACAATATTTACGGGAACAAATAAATTCAATTGAAGTAAATAAAAACCATTTAGAAGATAAAATAAGTAATGTGAAAAGATTCTTCAAACGTCAACTAAATAATAAAAATTTTAAAACTTTTTGAAACTAAACTACAACAAGAGGTAAAAGGTTTAATAAGTTTTATTCAAAAAGAATTGGTCAACGTTGCGAACAAAACTGAGTTACAAAATTTAATTTCATTAATATCTAAATTAGAGGATAAGATTGCAAAACAAAAATTAGACATTCAACAATTAATAGGTAACATTCCAGATGACAATGAAGATACGTTTCAACAGGAATTAAATGCACTGGAAACTAAACTTAATAGTGAATTACAAAAAGAACTAAGAAATATTAAACAAGAAATACAAAGCATAGATGATAGCGAAATTAAAACCTATATTCAACAACAAATACAAAATATAGATGATAGAGAAATCAAAACCTATATTCAACAACAAATACAAAATATTGATGATAGTGTTATTCAACAACAGATAACCACTATTAATAACCTAGTTTTGAAACAGGACAAAAATATAGTCGCATTAGGAAAAAAGTATCTCAAGAAAGAATCATATTATTTCAATCTTCCATTTGGAAATTTGAGTTCTGTTCATGCTTCTATTACTGATAATATTGATGGATCAAAAGACTATGAATATAAAAAATATTGATTTACAGCAAATATAAGAGTATATAAACCAAAAAATGATGATCCCAATTCAATTTTTCTTGGTGAATATTCTGCTTTTATTTTCAAAGGAAAACTTGTAATTGAAATAACTTTTCCTTTACAGGTAAAAGTTGATACAATTTTCTTCAAAACAAAACTTACATGAATTTAAAAAATTTAACGCTCGTAAAGTTCCTCAGTTTATCAATGGTACAAAAAAATGTAGAAACTAAAGAATTTGAAATTAACGACGAAAACAGCAAGCCTCATCACTTATATGAAATTAAAACGAGTGGAAAATATATAGATAGGTTTAGAATGTTAATCATAACAGATAAAGAAAATGATATTGGAGACGGAAAGTCCACCATCAGCAAGTATTATTAGAAATCCAGAACCACAAAAAAGAACAAGTAGTTATCAGTTTTTACGAACGACAGACTATGAATACGTAAAACTATATTTTGTTTATAATGATATATTTACCTCAATTGATATTCATAAATGTCAACAAAAACAAAAATTTTTGATACCAACAATAAGAGATGATGATGTATATCATATGAAACCAAAATTTTCAGTTCATCTGAATAAGATTAATGATTTGAAAGAACAAATATCCTTAGTATCTATACATGTTTTAATTGAAGATGGTAAACACAAAGTAGCTTTATCAGAAGTTCACTTAATTTAATTACCTAAAAAATGGAACAACAATATATGATAGACAAACAAAACGAACTAAAAGAAAAACTAAAACAATTCAACAAATGCAGAAAAACATGGAGTAGAATCGATTCTATTTTCAAAACATTAAGTACAGTTCTAACAATAGGGATAACGGTGGCAACAGCCATAACCGGTGGATTAATGCTTCCAATAATTGTCCCAACTGTATTAGCCGCGTTCACTGCCGTCCTAACTTCATCTTGTGGATTGATTACTTTAGGTTTTACATTAAAACAGAAAGCTCATTATAAAAAGAAAATACATATCTTAATAAATTATTCATTTTTTTTCGAAAGATCGAGAGAGGATAAGAACATAACAGTTGAAGAATTAGAAAAATTCAATGAAATTTTAGATAAATTTGATGTAGAAATATCATCAATAAAAGTTAAAAATTCCTAGTTAAAAATAGTTGCTTAAAAAATATGAATAAAATTGAAATTTTAAACGATGAAACATTCATATCAAATGAACTTTTTTTCAGTATTATTAACCTTATCTCTGATAAATTTGATACATTTAAAGGACAAATTTAATTAGATGGAGAGATAATTCAAGATGGAGATCACAAACAAAAAATGCAATTTGTAGGTTTTAATGCCAAAACTTTTCACAATTTCTTCACAACAGTGGATGTAAAATCGGATGCTTCTAATTGGTATTTCTCAGGAAAAATCATTTTACGTAAAAACAATTTTAAAGAAATAAAAAGATCAAAAAAGGGTAGTGGTGTTACCCTACTCAAAAAGATCAATGAATAGAGCGGTATAAATTGTTATATACCGAGCGATGGATACTGCTTTATAAAGTGCGTAAATCGTGTTTTAAACGAAGACTACATGAGAGAATTTCAAGATTTCATCAACAGTTTTTCAAAATCAAACAGAAAAGGAGTTATGACAACTGCTAGAATCTGTGAATTTAATAAGAAATTTAATACTTATTTTCAAATTTATATGCCCAAACATAGACATTTTCAACCAAAGAAAGTATCCCAGGAATCAGATTGGGTATTTTACTTACATAAATCACATTTCTGTCTCATTAGAAGAAATAACAAAACCTTAGGCATTACAGAAATAGAAGATAATTACGATGAAAACGTATGGAGAACTTGTAGAGATGATAATGCGATAACGCAAGTTTCACCTCTAAAACTAAACATTTTTCCAACCATTCACGATGATTGTTTAAACGCATGGGATTGCGAAACCTATAGCGAAAAAAAAGCAATTCCTTTCATATGTTCCTTCAACATGAAACATCTAGTTTAGCGGCATGGAGTAATTCATCTAATCTACCAATCAATTTGAGAAAGATCACCGATATTAATATTGCAAAATACACCAAAGATAATTGGGAATCATTATATGCTAAAAGAGATACGTTATGTCTCGGAGCTTGTTTGATAAAATACAATCAAGCAATGAAAGAAGTTGTATTTCAGAATATTTCTAATAATCTTCTTTATCTTTAAAGGGTTGGTATTATTTATATCATTACGATAAAGAAATGGTTGAAGAAGATTGCTATGAAAGTACTAGAATGGTTCGGAAACACACCGAAAAAGAAAACGTAGAAAAAGTTTACTCACATACACACCCTTTTATAAGATATTTTATCAGACAAAGTATTAAAGGAGGAAGAGTTTCGGCAAATCGAAAATCATTTAAAACGAATAAAATGGATGAAATTTGTAATGTATTAAGTGAATACACAGAAACACTAAGTGATAATATAATTGATTTATTCAAAGAATATAGTGCTAACCCAAAAGATAAAACGGAGGTTCATTCGAGACTTAAAAAAATAAAATGTACTAAACTAATGGCCTTTGATGCTAACGGTTTGTACGCTTCCGCTTTAGACAGCGAATATCCGAGAGCGGAAAGTGGTAGACCATTTCGACAAGAAGAAAATAAAGAATTTGTTAAGCTCTTTAATGAGCAGAAATTCAGACCTAGAACTGCTATTTTAAAAGTCTGGTTTGAATATCCTACCAACATGTTCTTCCAACCCATACCAGCTAAAGATAAAATCAGTTTTACGAATAGAATAGGTAAAAAGGAAACTGGCACTAAAATCAGGTTCAGAAATTGTTTCTGTTATGATGTTTTAACATCGGTCGATATTCAAGAAATAGTGAAAGCTGGCGGACGAATTATTAAAATATTAGATGGTAAAGGTAACGAAGAAAATTTTAAAATTCCACCCTATAGAGATTATATTTTTAAATTTTGAGAGATCTAAGAAATAAATATAAACGAGAAGGTAATATCGTAGGTAGTAATTGTATGAAATTATTAGGCAATTCATTGTATGGTAAATCTATTCAGAAGGATATAACTACATCGAGACATCTATGGAGTGAAGCGACTTTAAAAGCCAACTTCGATTCACATGTTATAAACTATGAAAAAGTAAATGATAGTCAATATATAGTTGAGATAAATGAAGAAGAAAAAGAATTTGACTGTACACCTCCTAAATCTACACGACTAACACCTAGTCATTTGGGATCATACCCTAGTCATTTGGGATCATTCGTTTTATCTCACAGTAAAAAGATAGTTTGCGTTGCAAGGTAACATATGCCCACTGGCAGCTGTCAGAAATAATAAAACAGTCTTTAGTGACTAAAGTACAAATTTTCTCATATTGAAGAAATTATTTATGCTGAATAATTCCACAAAATTTTTTAAAATCAATATCAATAACCCAAATACAACAAACAATTAAATCACACAGCTCTAATCAAGGGCAAAAAACAACTTTTGACGCGTGTACAAAGTCAAGGGCAATAACTCGAAAAACCGTACATCAAAAATGCATCAAGTTAGAACTTGTCAGAGATCTTATCAATTCCAATGATCACACCAAGTTTCATCAGAATCGGTTGAAAACTGTAGCTTCAATCCTGCTCACGAACTATTTTTAACAAATTTCAACACGTTTTAACAAAGTCAAGGGCAATAACTCAAAAACTGTTCATCGATAATGCGTCAAGTTAGAACTTGTCCGAGATTTTATCAATTCCAAAGATTACACCAAGTTTCATCAGAATCGGTTGAAAACTGTAGCTTCAATCCTGCTCACGAACTATTTTTAACAAATTTTGACGCGTTTTAACAAAGTCAAGGGCAATAACTCAAAAACCGTTCATCGAAAATGCGTCAAGTTAGAACTTGTCCGAGATCTTATCAATTCCAATGATCACACCAAGTTTCATCAGAATCCGTTGAAAACTGTAGCATCAATCCTGCTCACAAACTATTTTTAACAAATTTTGACGCGTTTTTACAAAGTCAAGGGTAATAACTCAAAAACCGTTCATTGAAAATGCGTCAAGTTAGAACTTGTCCGAGATCTTATTAATTCCAATGATCACACCAAGTTTCATCAGAATCGGTTAAAAACTGTAGCTTCAATCCTGCTCACGAACTATTTTTAACAAATTTCAACACGTTTTAACAAAGTCAAGGGCAATAACTCAATAACTGTTCATCGATAATGCGTCAAGTTAGAACATGTCCGAGCTCTTATCAATTCCAATGATCACACTAAGTTTCATCAGAATCGGTTGAAAACTGTAGCTTCAATCCTGCTCACAAACTATTTTTAACAAATTTTGATGTGTTTTATAAAGTCAAGGGCAATAACTCAAAAACCGTTCATCGAAAATGCGTCAAGTTAGAACTTGTCCGAGATCTTATCAATTCCAATTATCACACCAAGTTTCATCAGAATCGGTTGAAAACTGTAGCTTCAATCCTGCTCACAAACTATTTTTAACAAATTTCAAGGCGTTCTAAGTCAGGGGCAATATCTCAAAAACCGTTCATCGAAAATATGTCAAATTCGAACTTGACCGAGATCTTATCAATCTAAAGCATCACACCAAGTTTTATCAAAATCAGATAAAAACTGTAGTCTCTATAGTGCTCACAAGAAATGTTGACGGACGGACCGACGGACTGGGGCGAAGACAATATACGACCACATATTCATGTGGGCGTATAAAAATCAAAAGAATCTGTAAAAAATTGTCGCCTGTGGATTGAGCACAGGGTTGCACAATATAGCTAATAGAGTGAAACGTCAAGTCAGACACGATATTTCGGTGAAATATTATACGATCATCGCGAAAATCTATAAGGATCATCTTCATAATGACATTGACATACAAAATAAAAATCAAAAGAATCTGTAAACAATTGTAGCCTGTAGAGTGAGCACGAGTTGCACAATATAGCTAATAGAGTAAAACGTCAGGTCAGACACGATATTTCGGTGAAAAATTATCCGATCATCATGAAAATCGATAGATCATCATGAAAATCAATAGGGATCATCTTCATGACGACATAGACATACAAAATAAAAATCAAAAGAATCTGTAAAGAATTGTTGGCTGTAGAGTGAGCACGAGTTGCACAATATAGCTAATAGAGTAAAACGTCCAGTCAGACACGATATTTCGGTGAAAAATTATCCGATCATCACGAAAATCAATAGGGATCATCTTCATAACAACACTGACATACAAAATAAAAATCAAAAGAATCCATAAAGAACTGTAGCCTGTAGAGTGAGCACGAGCCAAATGTGAACGGACGGACGGACAGACTGACGGGGTGATTACAATTATGCCCATCTTACGTGTGGGGGTATAAAAATAATTAATAATTTTATTCACGTGATAGATGGATTTTATAAGCCTGAAATATACTATACGGATACCGATAGATATACAATTCGTCTAACAATTGGGATAAATTAAATGAAGCTGGGTTGGTGTCCGAAAATGATTATTGTAAAGGAAAGAATGATTACGGTGATGGTGGAATTATATTTGGTTTATATTTAGCGCCAAAAGTTAAATACAATATCATTCTAACTTCCAACGGTATTCTAAAAGAAAAGAAAACGTTTAAGGGTTACTCTAAAGATAAGATATCCGTAGAAGATTATATTCAATTAGCTAATGGACACGATGTAACGAATGAATTTAAGAAACCATGGATAAAAAGTTTCACCAATGGAGTAGTTATTCCAAAGGATGATGATAAACAAAAGAAAGTTTTTAGAAGTTTCTAAATCTCGTTAAGAGAAAAGCACCGGACAATGAAGTAATTATGTATCCTTACAACGACGGAAAAGAATTGAACATGGATGAAAACTACGAATTTGATGATTACGATTATATAACTATTCAAGAAGAGAATAAAGAGTGTTAATTTTTTGTTTTAAATGAAGTTGAATAACAATTTCTTTGTTACCAAAATCTATTAACCTATTTTTACCATCTTATCGGTACAGTGAATGTTGGAAGACTGTAAATAATCTGACGTGCGTATTTAATGAAAAAACCACCATTTATTAAATTGCAATGTATATTTATGACATCGATATCATTTTCGATATTAGCTTTGTGTGGTGCTTAAGTGGATTGGGTGTATATTTGTTTATCAAATCCTAGTAACGCATTCAATGAATTTTCTACGTTGAAATCAACTTGACTATAATTTCTTAATATCAATTTTATTTTGTTCAGATTCAAATTACCTTCGAATTCAATATTGTTGAATCTATTGTTGAATATTGTTGACACTTCCTCCATATTCAGATAGGTATTCGTTAACGGCTATGTATTCGTAGATTCCTGGTAGTAAACGTATGGTTTTGAACGTAACTCCATTATCTGTTGATATTTCAATTTGGTTATTTTTTTCGTTGATATTTCTAATGGAATTGTAAACAGAGAAATACTTTAATCCCAATTCATATTCTTGATTGCGAGCGAATTCGTACTCATAATCTAGAGATAATTTAATGTCTGATTTATTTGAGGTGATGACGAATAGTTGTTCTTTATTTGACATTTTTAATCACGCTTTTATAATCATTTTTATCTATGATACCTTTTTCTAGGAGTCTTTTTAATATACAATTTACTTCATTATATTGTCTGTGCGATCGATGTCCTTCCTTCATTGCCGCTAATATTACACGTAATCTATTAAGTAGTTCCTCGTTGTTGTCGGTTAAAAATGTTATACCTTGTCCAGATACCATATCTTCGAATTCGTCTATTTCTTGTGTAATTGAATTGTCTTCAGCATAATCATCTGATACCTCATCTTCATCGGCTTCATATTAATCAGGAATAACTTTATTTAAATATGTTTCAACTGCTTTCGATCTTCTTGTTTCGGGTCCCGACTTTCTTATTGCATGTAGAAATTTTGAGTATGCTAGTAAATCCTTATAATCGGCAATGTGAATATACCGACCATTCATTAATCTATTAATCCTTTTGTTAATGTAAATATTAAGACTTTTGTATCGATTTTGAATATAGGGGAATTTGACTTAATTTCAATTCTAAATCCATTAAACAATAACCCCTAATGATTGGTGAAATACTCTTTGGTAAATCTGGGTCAGGGTTCGAAAAAAGACGATTTATATCATGTCCTAATTATAATACCACTATATACTCGCCATTCATTAAATCTATTAACCCTTTTGTTAATGTAAATATTAAGTTTTTTGTATCGATTTTGAATATAGGGGAATTTGACTTAAATTTAATTCTAAATCCATTAAACAATAACCCCTCATCATCAATAATTGGTGTAATACTCTTTGGTAAATCTGCTTTAGGTTTTGAAAAAAGACTGTTAATATCATCTAATGTCCTAATTATAATACCACCATATGGATTCGCTTCTGGGTGATCTTTATGAGGTTCTATAGGAGGTTTATATTCTAAAGCTAATTTCTTTTTAATATCCTCTTGAGATTTTAATATGGGTTGAAATAGAGTTTGTAATCTGTTATTTTCAACTTGGGTCTTTATTTTATTCTTAGCTTTGATATATTCTTTATTTCTTTTTAAAATATTATTCCAAACACTACTCATTTTTAAAAAAAATAAAATTTAACAAATGTCTGTCACAACTCTTTCACCCGCAGGTTTTCTAGTATTAACGAATATATATCCATGATCATTTGGGTTTTTCCATTGAGCTTTACAAACCATTTTAAATGCATCTCTGTCCATTCTGTGATTTATCGACTGAATGATTTGAGATAAATCCTTATCGTTTAATTCAAATAATAAAAAACAATTTGCATTTTTTCTAATGAACATAGAATCCATCCCGTAAAAAGATTGGGATTGGTATATGCAGTGACAGTTGTGATGTCTTCCTTTCATGAAGAATTCTTGTTGAACAGCTTGATTTCTTTGCGCTACGCAGTCGTCAAACAATATTAAGTTCTTTCGTTTGCTATCAATATTAGTCAAATCTAGGTCATTAACATTTTTTGTAAGAAAAACTTTTATATCCGTTGGATTCTTTGCTTCGATGAAGTTATCTATGATATCTTTTATTTCCACTTCTTCTTCGTTTTCTTCGTAATATTGAAATAGGTCTTGAACATCTTTCTTTGGTAAATATTCTAAAGCTTTGAGGAATTGATAATACGATTGCTCTGGTGTTGTTGTGTAGATATACAAAGAATCGAAATCTAAAAGGTTTGGTATTGTTAACATGTTAAAAGTGAGATGAGTTTTCCCAGAACCGGACCTACCGCATATACACAAGCATTGGGTTACTAGGAAATATTTCTGAATGATTAAATTTTTTGCCCATTTTTTAATATTTTTTTTATTCCAAAAATCACTCCTTCTCCTTTATACTTTGAAAGAAATAATCCTTCTCCAGTGTGTATATTTTTAAAAAATATTCCATTACCCTTATGTTTGACTTGGACTTCTCCTGTGTCAATACTATCTACTAATTTATTTAATCCTTGTTTAACAGTTTTCTTGGTTTCTTCCCCAAATTTTTTCCAAATTCTTTTATTGTGCCTATCATATCTCCCACTCCAGAACCTTTGGCTTCCTTTTCCATTATTAAATTATGTCTACGTTCTTCAGCGGCTTTAGCATCAGCTGCTTTCTTTTCGTTGGCAGATTTGACTGTGGCAGATATTCCTCCAGTAGCTGCACCCGCCGCTGCAATACCACCAAATATTTCCAAATAAAGGTAGAAGGAAAGGTAAAAATCCACCTTCTTTTGCATTCGCGTCAATTCTTTATAAGTCTATATCGTCTCTGACTTGACAATATTTGTATTTATCAATAAGTTTTTTAGTTATGTTGATTTTACCATTGAAAGTTATTACAGTTGGTGAAGCTGTTTCAATAGCTTCTATTATTTTCATAACTAAAGTTTCTGGTTTCATTTTTAAGGGTGTATTTTTTACTCAATTCTTATCATTCTTCTATCTGCTATTTTAATTAAATGTTTTGCTTCTTCGAGTAGTAAACAATAACCGGTTACATCTCCTTGTGTTTTTTCAATATGAATATTTATGTTGACTCCTGTTTTGAAAAGATCTTCTTTGTGAGCTGTTAGATCAAAACAGAAGATTGGATGATTAAGTGCAAAATCTACATATTCAAACTGAGGAGGATTTCCAAATAATTCAATGTTTTTATAGTTTCTATACAATTCAGTATAATCCTTTGTGGTTGGATTAATTGTTAAAGGTTGGTTAGGATAATTATCGTTGTTTAATCTTACTTGAACTTTAAGGATTAAAGGATCTCGAGTTTGGTTCATTGCCACTCTGAAGACATTATTGTTATTCGTTTGAGAATCTAGTAAGTTCTTGAAACCAACTATTAAATATCTTGCTGGTTTAATAGTGTTAGTGATTGGCTATGTGGTGGATTCTCCAGTTAAAGTTATGCTACCTACCGTATTACGATGAAGAAAAGCTATTTCAATATCTTTAGTTAATGAGTTGAATATTCTCGTTTCTACTTCAATTGATGATGTTTTTACGGGTATGAAAAGTTGGAGATTCGTTATTTCTAATTTTGCATCTGAACCATTCTCTTCAAAGAATATCTTATCATCGTTGATTTCTCTTTGTAGATGAATTTTATATGGTAACCCTATGGAAACTTTTCTATGTTACAACAGACCGAATAAAGGATATAATTTCCAATTTACGTAATTACCCCACCTATTATTCTCAACAATATCATTGTACTGAAGTACTCGTTTTTCGAATCCATGATTAGCTGCTCGTGCTACTCTTTCTATTGTGTTTCGAGCAGCAACTCTCACTCTAGCTAAATCAGCATCATTTGCAAGATTTTTTACCGGTTCTTTTAAAACACTTCCATTGCCAACATCGGGTATCCAACCTGAGACTGAATCGAAATCTTTAGGATATAAAACTGTTTTCAACATTGTTTCTATCGGATTTGAACCAGCTTCCAAAACCATCTCGCTAAATAAAGATGGAAAGAAATTATTTTCTAACGTTATATAAGTTTGTGGAACTTGATTCTGAGTTCCATCTTTAATTTTGCAATCACATCTGAAATAAGCATCGGAAAGAAGCAACCAATTCGATAATGAATTTATTTCGAAGGTAATTCTACCACCATCATTCAATTGGGATTTAGAACCAACAGTCAGTGAGATGATAATATAATCCTCTTTTTTCTTGTTAAATGAATAACGAATCGGATCTTATAATCTAAAGATTGGATCTAATGTTTTATTTGCCATTTTTAAGGTTTAAAAATTGAGTAGAAAATTGCGTTTCCAAAAAAGAGTTATCTCCCTTCTACATTATTTAAAACGAGGCTAGAAATGTTATGTTATTTTATATAAGGGTATTTTTAATATGCTTTTTTTGATGGAATGTAGGAAATTGATTGAAGGTGTTTTTGGTGTAGGAAATGAAGGGAGTTTAGGTGTAATACTTTTAGGTCTTTTTTTAGTGAAAGAATTTATGAAATGTAGGGTGTTTAGGTTTTTTGGGAGGGAATTGATGGAATGTAGGGTGTTTAGGTCTTATTTGGGAGCTTACATATTTGTCGCATTTTCCCCATGAAATGAAATGGAATGGGGAATCCCCGTGCGACCAATATGTAAGCTCTAGTACTACTAAGGAATCAATAGAGAATTGTAGTCTGTACGGTGAGCATGAGGTAAATGTGAACGGACGGACCGATAGACGGACCGGGAACTACAATATACGCCCATACTTACGTGTGGGCATATAAAAATGATATTATACATTGTGACAACAAGAATTGCTGTATATTATTTTATATCTGCTCTTGTCGCAAATGCATGACACAAAAAAATGTGAAATATAGAAAAACAAAACAAAAAAGAAAAAAATTTGGATAAATAAAGTCAACTTATATTATTGACATACCATATTAAAGATCAACACTATCTCCACAACATTCTACCGAGTCAAACTCATAACTTGGATGAACTTAATGGCACAATCCTGAAAATATACATGTAATTCTAAATATGGCAATCAATCAAATTTCATACTCAATTCATATAAACCTACAGTAACATTTCTATTCAGAATCAACATTTACTTAGTCACAGAATAGCAATAAAAATTATAAATGAAAATATTAAGCTTATAAAATTTGATTCACTTACAGCAAAAATGACTCATCTTCATCTCTTGCTTTCTTCTCATACCTTGTCATAAGTTCTCTTCACTAGTATCAGAAAGTTGTTACATACCAGAAACCATGGGTGAATTAACAATACTCCTAGAATTTGAAAATTCAAAATTCTTTGATATCAAATATAACAAATAATATGGTGTTCACTGAACAATGGACATCCTAATTTCTTGGTTATCGAACTTAGGTTGATTATTTGTATAATCCCTTTTCCATCTGTGAGTCAAAAGTAAAACTGATAATAAGAATCAATGATAAATGGAAAAAAAACAAGCAAAAAGTAAACATACCCTTCTGAAATCACTAATAATAATAATCAGTAGCCATTGCATATCTGCTTGAAAGCTTGATGCTGCAGATGAACTGGGCCTAACAGTAGACAGCTTAGGCTGTCATACCTATTGTAAAATATAAAAACAAACTCAGTACTAATTGCATATTTTGTAGGATTTGGAATCCTTGGCTTAAGTCAGTTGAATATTAGTTATATTGTTAGCTTTTGCACTAATCAACTGTATAAATGATTGGATGGAAAGGCATTTGTATAGCACAGAGACTTTAAAACATTCATCTTTGAACTTTTCTCAAAAAAAGGTTGACAAAGCAACAAAAATGAGTGGAAATGCCTATTCTTACAGGAAAAAAGCCGAAAAATGACATTGTAATCAACGTGTTGTGTAGTTGATAAAATGTTCTTCAAGCTTTCATGTCATTGGAAAATAGAAATGAAAGTAGAAATAATTCTCCCTCACGGGCCCTATTCTTACCGACTGTTGAGCAAGAGAGTGGCTGCCTCACCGTTTGATATTAACTGATTCTCCTCCATGAAATTAAACCAACGTTCAAAGACATCCTTAGCTAAACATATTCTTGGATTTTCTTGATCCCATTTCTTCCTTTTTCCCTTTATTTTCTGAATCTGAAGCCTTTTTAAATTGTAAACAGTGCATTCTTCCTGCCGCCATATTGTTATTGTGAGGAAAGTAAGTAATGCTGGGAGTGCACATGCGCGCATATTTAAACGATTTTTAACCAATCACAGATGTCCCCGACTGTATACACTGGTTATTTGAAAAAAGACTGGACAATTTTGTTATCATGGTCACGCTATAAAAATCCTCGTCGTAATTAGCTAATTACGAGCTAATTAGAATACCTGTAATTCGATTGACATAAGTATCAGCCATCCAATAATCGAATATATATATATAATTAAATCACGATTCCTTTAACACGGTATCACGCAATTTGATTGTATAACAGCAGTTACATGAATTCGGTTTATATCTGTGTAAACGGAATGTAAATATAAGCTCCGTCCCTTAGCAGACTACTTTTATCATTGAGTTAGATTGACGCAGCCACTACACAGCGTCGATGTCTTTCCTTCGTACCTCACCAGAGCCGAAATCAACACTTCACTGAAGGATTACGTTTTTTTACAAATTCCCTCGAATGTGAATTCTCCAAATATCAACAAAATCATGATTTTTGGACTTATTTCAAACTCAGCTTTCAATAATTGAACTTGAAAGCAATAGACAGTAGACTATAAATAGGTGACCTACTTATTGCTGATTGGCTGGCTGTTCTCTTGAAAGTCTCTATTGTTAGTATCAGTTCATTAACATTATGTTAAAATTTTAGATATTTGTGCGCCAATTTTGTCCCTTAGTTTGTTGCTATTTTAGATAAATATTTAAACACGCATTCGAGTTGATTTAATTATAAGGAATGACCTGAACATTTTTTCAGTTTATCGATGTATTATGATAAATAAATGAAAATAATCTTTAAACAAATATATGTTGATATGGCCAAGTTTTATAAAACTCAAAATGGGACCTCAGGGTAAAACTGGATCCTCATGGTAAAACTGGATTTGCGTTAATGGGCTAAATAATAAGAGTGGCTCTGCAGTGAGTTAACCTCTTGCTCGCTAGCCTGAAGGTCCAGGGTTCAATCCTGCATAGGTCGAGATAATATTTTTCGACCCGGTTTCCCCCTGTCAGTGATGCAGGTAAGAGGGACTGACATGGAAAAAGCGTCTTGTCCTTCGGATGGGACAATACAGGCTGTGCACGTTAAAGATCCCTCGAAAGTTGGACAGTTGAACAGGCTAATGCCACTGTCCTGAGAAATGTATGACGTAAAACTCTATTCATTTTTATACGCCCACATGAAATGCCTACGAAAAATATTGAGTATGAGTTATTGCCCTTATTCTTGAAAACAGGTTCAATTTTTAGCTTGTAAACACTCTTGACGGATTTTAACGAAATTTGGCTTGAGTGTTTGTTATCACCCAAGGATAAAACCAATTGAAAATCAGAAAAATTGAAAATATTTAGTATAAGTTATTGCAATTGTTCTTGCTAACTCGTTCTATTTGTAGCTTGTAAAAACTCGTAGAAGGTATGATTCTTGCCGAATTTGGACAAAACCTGGTTTTATTATTCATTAGCGTCCTGAAGATTGAATATATGTCTTCTACAGTCTCACGAGCTAAAGATTGAACACTTTTTCAAGAACTAGGGCAATAACTCATACTCCATATTATTCAGTATCACCCTAAAGAGTTCAAAAGGAGTGTATGACTGAAGGTTGAATATTTCATACTGGTGATTGTTACTGAACTGCTAAATATTTATGTTCAAAATCAATGCTGCCAGTGGGCGTATATTACCTTGCCTGGCAAGCTATCTTTTAGTAGGGGAGCTAGGTCAGGTTTATTTTCGCTCAAATTTATTGTAATGCTTAGTAGACACTAGTCGAGTTTGATTTAACTTTATGTAGGCCTACAACTCTCTCTTCACTCATTTTGTAGAGCAACCTAAATAATGTCCAAAATCGGTGCTTAAGAAAGTCAGACCCCTTGCTCTCCTCCATTAAAAACACCCCTGTTGAAGTGCCATTTTTGTCTAGATGCATGACATAAACCAGGAATGACATAAAGATGCAAACCTTCTTGCGTAGAAGTAGGGCCACATCTGGTCACGAGGAAAAATCAAACGCATTTTGAAGAGCAAGGGCAATAATTCATATAAAATATTTTTTGATTTTATTGCTTTTCAAAAGGGTTCATCCTTGGGTGATAATTAACAATTTCGTGAAGTTTTGTCAAAATCTGTAAAGAATTGTGACTTTTAGAGTGTTTACGAGCTAAAAATTGAGCGCGTTCTGAAGAACAAGGGCAATAACATATATTAAATATTTTTTCGATTTTATCGATAGGGTTCATCCTTGGTTGATAATAAACAATTTCAGCAAGTTTTGTCAAAATCCGTTAAGAATTGTGACTTGTAGAGTATTTACGAGCTAAAAATAGAACGCGTTTTGAAGAACAAGTGCAATAATTGATATAAAATATTTTTCGATTTTATTGATTTTCAATAGGGTTCATCCTTGGGTGAGTAGTATGTGTACATTACCATATGCCGTTTTATCATATGCCATTTTGCCATATCCCGACTTTTTTTTACCAAATTGAGCATGCTGTCACATACACTACGTTCCCCCCATTTTACCATATTATGCGGATTTACCAAAAAAAAAATTTTCCCAAATTGAGCATGCTATCACATACTGTCTCATATACAACATTTTTCCCAAATTCACCATACTGTCACATACCCTACATTCCATCAACAAAACAGACCACAATTTCTACTCAAATTTTAAACCTTAAAAATGGCAAATAAAAATTACATACTAGATCCAATCTTTAAATTATACGATCCCATTCGTTATTCATCTAAAAAGAAAAAAAAGGATTATATTATCATCTCTACTACTGTTGGTTCTAAATCCTAGTTGAATGAAATAAATTAATTATCAAATTGGTTGCTTCTTACTGATGCTTATTTCAGATGCGATTTCAAAATCAAAGATGGAACTCCCAATGAAAATCGTGTACCACAAACTAATACAACGTTAGAAAACAATTTCTTTCCATCTTTATTTAGCGAGATGGTTTTGGAAGCTGGTTCAAATCCTACAGAAACCATTTAACACCCTGGGGAATTTGACACAATGTTGAAAACAGTTCTTTATCCCAAAAATTACGCTTCAGTCTCAGGCTGGATACCCAATGTTGGTGATGGAAGTGTTTTAAAAGAACCGGTAAGAAATGTTGCAAATGATGCAGATTTAACTAGAGTGAGAGTTGTTGCTCGAAACACAATAGAAAGAGTAGACGAGCAGCTATTCATGGATTCGAAAAATGAGTAAATCAGTATAACAATGTTGTTGAAAATAATAGGTGAGGTAATTACGTAAATTGGAACACAGAAAAGTTTCAATAGGGTTACCATATAAAATTCATCTACAAAGAGAAATCAACGATGATAAGATATTCTTTGGAGAGAATGCTTCAGATGCAAAATTAGAAATAACGAATCTCCAACTTTATATACCGGTAATAACACCATCAAATGAAGTAGAAACGAGAATATTCAACTCATTAAGTAAAGATATTGAAATAGCTTTCCTTCGTCGCAACACGGTAGGTAGCATGACTTTAACTGGAGAATCCACTACTTGGCCAATCACCAATACTATTAAACCAGCAAGATATTTAATGGTTGGTTTCAAGAACTTAGCAGACTTACAGACAAATAAGAATAATATCTTTAGAGTAGCAATGAACCAAACTCAAGATTATAATTATTGTATAGAAACTATAAAAACATTTGTGAATTATTTGGAAATCCACCTCAGTTTGAATATGTAGATTTTGCACTTTATTATCCAATCTTCTGTTTTGATCTATCAGCTCACCAATAAGATCTTTCCAAACAGGAGTGAACATAAATATTCATATTGAAAAAACACCAGGACATGTAACCGGGTATTGTTTACTACTCGAAGAAGCAAAACATTAAATTAAAATAGCAGATTGAAGAATGATAAGAATTGAGTAAAAAATACACCCTTAAAAATTAAGCCAGAAACTTTAAACAGCTTTACCAACTGTAATAACTTTCAACGGTAAAAAAATCAGCATAACTAAAAAACTTATTGATAAATACAAATATTGTAAATTCAGGGACAATATAGACTTAGAAAGAATTGACGCGAATGCAAAGGAAGGTGGATTTTTACCTTTCCTACTACCTTTGATATTTAGCGGTCTTTCCCCAGCCGGTATAGCAGCTGGTGGTACAGACGCCGCAGTATGAGCTGCCAACGATAAGAAAGCAGCTGATGCTAAAGCCGTCTATGAAAAGACAGCAGCTGCAGTAAAAGATGCTGAAGAACATAGACACAATTTAGCAACGGAAAAGTTGGCAGCAGAGGATGAAAAAAGTAAAGATTGCTTGCCAGGCAAGGTAATATACGCCCACTGGCAGCTTTGATTATGAATAAAAATATTTAGCAGTACAGTAACAATCACCAGTATGAAATATTCAACATTCAGTCATACACTTCTTTTGAATTCTTTAGGGCGATACTGAATAATATTTTGAGTATGAGTTATTGCCCTTGTTCTTGAAAACATGTTCAATTTTTAGCTTGTGAAAACTCTAGAAGGCAAATATTCAATCTTAAGCACGTACTGAATAATAAAACCAAGTTTTGTCAAAATCCAGCAAGAATCATGCCTTTTAGTGTTTAAGAGCTAAAATTTGAAAGTGTTTTCAAGAACGAGGTCAATAACTCCTATGAAACATATTTAGATTTTTTTTAATTTCGATAGGGTTCATCCATGGGTGATAATAAACAATTTACCAAGTTTCGTCAAAATCTGTCAAGAATTGAGCCTTCTAGAATGCTAAAAATTGAACACGTTTTCAAGAACAAGAGCAATAACTCAAACTAAATATTTTTCGATTTTTCTGATTTTCCATAGGCTTCATCCTTGGGTGATAACAAACACTCAAGCCAAGTTTCGTCAAAATCCGTCAAGAATTGTGCCTTCTAGAATGTTTACGAGGTAAAAATTGAACGCGTTTTCAAGAACAAGGGCAATAACTCATACTAAATATTTTTCGATTCTTCTGATTTTCAATAGGGTTTATCCTTAGGTGATAGCAAACACTCATGCCAAGTTTTGTCAAAATCTGTCTAGGATTGTACCTTCTAGAATGTTTACGAGCTAAAAATTGAACGTGTTTACAAGAACAAGGGCAATAACTTATACTAAATATTTTTCGATTCCTCTGATTTTCAATAGGGTTCATCCTTGGGTGATAACGAACACTCATACCAAGTTTTGTCACAATCCGTCAAGAATTGTGTCTTGTCTTGTGGACGGACGGAACGATGGACCGACGTACATTGGTGATGCCAATATACGCCCCCCATTTCTGAAATGGGGGGCATATAAAAAATGGGAAGGAAATTCAAACATTCAGAAATATTTCCTAGTAACCCAATGCTCATGTGTATATGCGGTAGTTCCGGTTCTGGGAAAACTCATCTCACTTTTAACATGTTGACAACATCAAAACTTTTGGATTTCAATTCATTATATATCTACACTACTACACCAGAGCAATCATATTATCAATTCCTCAAAGCTTTAGAATATTTACCAAAGAAAGACGTTCAAGACATATTTCAATATTATGAATAAAACGAAGAAGAAGTGGGAATAAAAGATATAGATAACTACATTAAAGCAAAGAATCCATAGTTTTTCTTTCTAAAAATGTTAATGATCTAGATTTGTCTAAAATTGGTAGCAATCGAAAGAACTTAATATTGTTTGACGACTGCGTAGCACAAAGAAATCAAGCTGTTCAACAAGAATTCTTCACGAAAGGAAGACATCACAACTGTCACTGCATATACCAATCCCAATCTTTTTACGGGATGGATTCTATGTTTATTAGAAAAAATGCAAATTTTTTTTTTATTATTCGAATTAAACGACAAAGATTTATCTCAAATCATTTAGTCTATAAATCACGGAATGGATAGAGATACATTACAAAAAGGTTTGTAAAGTTCAATGGAGACACCCAGATGATCATGGATATATATTTGTAAATACTAGAAAACCTGCGTTTGAAAGAGATATGATCGACATATGTTAATTTTATTTTTTAAAAATGAGTAGCGATTGGAATAATATTTTAAAAAGAAATAAAGAATATATCAAAGCTAAGAATAAAATAAAGACCCAAGTTGAAAAATAACAAATTACAACAACTTGGATTAACAGAAAATCTACAAACTCTATTTCAACCAATATTAAAAACTCAAGAGGATATTAAAAGAAAATTAGTTTTAGAATATAGAAATGAAAAAATGAAATGAATGGAGTTTTACGTCCTACTTTTCTGCACCATGTGGGCTAATGAAGACGGGAAATGCCATGCAGGGTGCGATAAGGGAAATTTTGCCAGGACAGCGGCATTAGCGGGGCCTCGGTTTATTGTCCTATCCGAACGCCTAGACGCTTTTTCCATGTCAGCCCCTCTTACCTGCATCACTGACAGGGGGAAACCGGGTTGAAAAATCCGAAGGTTTTATCTCGACCTATGCTGGGATTGAATCCTGGACCTTCAGGTTAGCGAGCAAGCGTCTAACTCACTGAGCCACCGCGGCTCCCTTTAGAATATAGAGCCATGCCTCGTATAGAAGCTCATAAAGATCAGCCCAAACCGAATAAATATAGTGGTATTATAATTAGGACATTAGATGATATAAATCGTCTTTTTTCAAACCCTGACCCAGATTTACCAAAGAGTATTTCACCAATCATTGATGATGAGGGGTTATTGTTTAATGGATTTAGAATTGAAATTAAGTCAAATTCCCCAATATTCAAAATCGATACAAAAGACTTAATATTTACATTAACAAAAGGATTAATAGATTAATGAATGGTGGGTATATTCACATTGCCGATAACAAGGATTTAGTAGCATACACAAAATTTCTTCATGCAATTAGAAAGTCAGGACCTGAAACAAGAAGATCGAAAGCAGTTGATCTATATATAAAAAAAGTTATTGGTGATGAATATGAAGTTGACGAAGCAGAAAATGAAGACAATTCAATCATACAAGAAATAGACGAATTCAAGATATGGTATCTGGACAAGATATAATGTTTTTATCTGACAACAACCAGGAACTACTTAATAGATTACAAATAATATTACGGCAATGAAGGAAGGTTATCGATCACACAGACAATATAATGAAGTAAATTGCATATTCTAAAAACTCCTCGAAAAAGGTATCATAGATAAAAGTGATTATAAAAGAGTGATTAAAAATGTCAAATAAAGAACAACTATTCATTATCACCTCAAATAAATCAGACATTAAATTGTCTCTAGATTATAGTATGAACTCGATCGCAATCGAGAATATGAATTGGGATTAAAGTATTTCTCTGTTTACAATTCCATTAGAAATATCAACGAAAATAATAACCAAATAAAGATATAAACAGATAATGGAGTTACAGTCAAAACCATAAGTTTACTACCAGGAAGCTATGAATACGTAGCCATTAACGATTACCATTAGCCATTATCTGAATATGGAGGAAGTGTAAATGTTAGAAACAATATTGAATTCGAAGGTAATTTGAATCTGAACAAAATAAAATTAATATTAAGAAATAAGAGTCAAGTTGATTTTAATGTACAAAATTCATTAAATACTTTACTAGGGTTTGATAAAAAAATATACACCCAATCCACTTTAGCACCACACTAAGCTAATATCGAAAGTGATATCGATGTAATAAATATTCACTGCAATTTGATAAACGGTGGATTTTTCAACAAATACAAAAGCATTCCAACATTCACTGTACCGATAGAATTATAGAGAAACCATTTCAAACAAGATATTTACCACTTAATTCCTTTATGATTAAAGATATAAATCTGGAAATCAAAGATGGTAAAAATAGGTTTATAGATTTTGGAAATGAGGAAATTGTAATTCAACTTCATTTAAAACAAAAGAACTAAATTTATTTTAATGGATCATCATTAGATACATTTGTAAAATAATCAAAATCATCAAATACATAATCGTCATCCAAGCACATCTCCCTCCCAGAGTTGTAAGGATACATTTTTCCTTCATCATCTGGTGCTTTTCTCTTCACTAAATTCAAATAACTTCTAAATCTTTTAGTTTGTTTTTCATTAGGAATAACTATTCCATCAGTAAAACTCTTTCCCCATGGTTTATCAAATTCATTCGTCACATCATGTCCGCTAGCTAATTGAACATAATTGTCCACCTTAATCTTATAGTTAGAGTATCCCTTAAACGTTTTCTTTTCTTTCAAAACACCATCAGAAGTCAAAATGATATTATATTTAACTTTTGATGCTAAATACATACCAAAAATAATTCCACCATCTCCATAGTCATTCTTTCCTTTGCAATATTCAGTTTCAGATACCAACCCAGCTTTATTTAATTTATCCCAATTTAGAAGAAATGTATAAACTATCAGTATCTGTATAGTATATTTCTGGTTTATAAAATCCATCTATTACATGAATAAAATTGTTCATTATTCCTTTACTGTGAGATAATATAAACGCACCTAAATGAGTGGGTGTTAATCTTGAAGAATCCTTTGGAGGAACAAACTCTTTTTCTTCGTCATTAATCTCGACAATGTATTGAGTATCATTTAGTTTGTCATACTTCTTGACGTGATTGTCGTAATTAAGGCGGAAGCTTTCTTCATTCCATAAATGCAATGAGGTATTTCTATCTCTTTGAATAGATTAACCGTATAAGGAATTACCTAACAACTTCATGCAGTTACTAGCAACCACATCCCAATCCTTTTTGTATTTATTCCTTAAAACCTTTAAAATTAAAATGTAATCTCTATATGGTTGAGTTTTAAAATTTTCTTCATTGACTATTCCATCTAATATCCTGAGTATTTTACCACCAGCTTTAATTACTTCTTGAATGTCAACCGATGTTAAAACATCTGAACAGAAGCCATTTCTAAACCTGATTTTAGTGCCAGTTTCCTTCTTATCTATTCTATTCGTAAAAGTTATTTTATCTTTAGCTGGTATGGGTTGAAAGAACAGTAGGATATTCAAACCAGACTTTTAAAATAGCTGTTCTAGGTCTGAATTTCTCTTCATTAAATAGCTTAACAAATTCTTCTTCTTCCTCAGGTAAAAATGCTCTAGCACTTTCAGCTTTTGGATATTCACCTTCTGTCATAGCAGAGGCATACAACCCATTAGTGCAAATGCTATCAGTTTAGAATAGTCCAGCTCTTTGAGTTTAGCGTGAACTTCTGTTTTATCTTTTGTACTTGTGCTGTATTCTTTGAATCTATTATTCCTTCACTGTCACTTTCTAAATACTCCTTTAATATGGCGCAAATCTCATTCATTTTGTCCGTTTCAAATGACTTTAAAGATAGCGCCAGAGCTGTTAGATTATTTAAAATGTTTTGGAAGACAGTTTGTTTCATTGCTTGATTGTATTTTATCAAAAAGACTCCAAGACAGAGAGCATCTCTTTTAGCATTTGGCTCCCATTCATGTCTTTAAGGTTCCCAGTTGCCTTTAGTGCATTTAGCAATGTCAACATTCATTATTTTTCTCAAATTCATCGGTAGATTAGATGAATTACCCCATGCCGCCAAACTAGTGCTTTGATTTTGAAATGAACAACTGAGACATATGTTTTGTAAATAGTTATTTTTATCAGATATTTTTTTCTCTCTTTTCCACTTTTTCTGCAATCTTTCTTCTTTATATGGATTAGATACAGGAAGAGATAGAATTTTTTTATCTGTTACTAATGGACATTGTGTTAATTTTTTTACCCTTTTAAGTGCAATCCAGTTGTCAAAACCACTGCCGTTATGGGAAATTAAGGTTAGTCTTTTTTGATCTACTGTACCTAAACTACGCATCATCTGATCAAAACATTCTGTTCCTACAAATATTTCTACTATATTAGTCATGAGTTTGTTGTAAAATTCTTCTGTAATGGGATCAGTTGGCTTTCAATCTGGGAATACTCTTTTAGTTAGTTCTAGTTTTTCCCTTAGTTTTTCCAAATTGACTAAAGTACAGCAATAAGGAATTGCTTTATTACCCCCCTCTTCACAATATGTTTCACAATCCCAAGCGAATAAAGTATCATCATGAGGTTGTGAAATCATGTTTAGTTTTAACTGAGCAAAACATGTTACTGCATCATCATCTCTGCAGGTTCTCCATACATTTTCATTATAGTTTTCTTCTATTTCTTTAATACCCAAAGCTTTATTATTTCTTCTTATCAAACAGAAATGTTCTTTATGTAAGTAAAAAACCCAATCTAAGTCTATGTTTACATATCTTGGTTGAAAATGACTGTCTTAAGGGTTATTGATTTGAAAATTTGTATTAAATCGATCGTTGAATAGCTTAAATCTTCCAACTGTCATCACTCCTTTTCTTTTTGCTTTTTGAAAACTGTTGATAAATTTTTCAAATTCTTTTGATAAGTCTTTATTCATAAAGTGATTTACACACTTTATAAAACAATAACCATCGCTTGGTATGTAACAATTTTGCCTTGTATTCATTTATCTTTTTAAGTAGATTTCCACCTCTGCCAGTTTAGATCTTTTTACTATTCTAAAATTATTTTTGCGGAAAATAATATCTTCTGTAAAATACCAATCAGAAGCCTTAGATTTATCATGCATCTTTGAATAAACAATCTGGAAAGTTTGAGCATTGAATCCAGATAACGTCATGTCTTGTTTTTATATTACCCTTCTTCATATATTCGACCATTTATTTCAATATGACCTTTAATTTTAAAATCATTAAATAGAATAGTTATTCTCTTGATTAATTCTGAATAAAGCATATATGTGGCTGATATTTTAATTTCATTCTCCTCACTTTTAAAAATATTATCAACTACATATTTAAAGTTTTCTTCATTTTCTTTCTTAAATTTACGCGAAAATAAATTAGATATTGAATTGAATATCGATGAAAAAAGTGTTTTGGATAATCCTTTGTCTAAATTTCCTATTTTATCCATTCTTTTTTAAGTATCTATTTTTTAACTAGGAATTTTTCACTTTTATTGATGATATTTCTACATCAAATTTATCTAAAATTTCATTGAATTCTTCTAATTCTTCAATGGTTATGTTATCTTCTCTCGATCTTTCAAAAATATAAATAATTTATTAAGATATGAATTTAAAATTTCTATTTTCTTGCCACTGTTATCCCTATTGTTAGAACTGTGCTTAATGTTTTGAAAACAGAATCAATTCTACTCCATGTTTTTCTGCATTTGTTGAAGTGTTATAAATTGTTTATCTCTATGACTTTTGTGAATATTGACTGAGGTAAATAAATTAGTTGAAGAGATAATTCCATGTTCGTGTAAAAAACTACTATTAACAAAATATATTTTTACATATTCAAAGTCTGTTACTCGTAAAAACTGATAACTGATTGGCCTTCCTTCTACTTTTTGTGGTTTTGGATTTCTAATGATATTCATTGATGGTGAAGTTTCTGTCTCCAATATCATATCAAATTCACTCAATGAAAGCGTATCATTTTTTTTATCTGGTATGATTAACATTCTAAACCTATCTATATATTTTCCACTTGTTCTAATTTCATAAAAGTGATTAAACTTGCTGTTTTCGTCGTTAATTTCATATTTTTTAGTTTCTACATTTTCTGTACCATTGATACTGAAGAACTTTACGAGTGTTAAATTGACGATTAGATGTAATTCCTGAGTTTTGTCTGAAGAATATCGAATCAACTTTTGCCTGTATAGGAAAAAGGAATGGATGATTACCATGAAACATGGCATGGGGGTAAATATATTCTGGAGGAGAAAATTTTCTTATATTTGCTGTAAACCATTTCCAAATGGAAGATTGAAATAATATGATTTATTTTTTCCTTGTGATGCTTTTCTAATGCGGCTATATTTTTTTGCTGTTTTAAAACTTCGTTATTAATTATGGTTATCTGTTGTTGAATAACACTATCATCAATATTTTGTATTTGTTGTTGAATATAGGTTTTAATCTCAATCATCAATGTTCTATAATTGTTGTTGAATATAGGTTTTGATTTCGCTATCATCAATGTTCTATTTTTGTTGTTTAATATTTGTTAGTTCTTTTTGTAATTCACTGTTAAGTTTAGTTTCCAAAGCATTTAATTCCTGTTGAAATGTATCTTCATTTTCATCTGGAATGTTATCTATTAATTGTTGAATGTCTAATTTTTGTTTTGCAATCTTATCATCTAATTTAGATATTAATGAAATTAAATATTGTAACTCAGTTTTGTTCACTACGTTGACCAATTCTTTTTGAATAAAACTTATTAAACCTTTTACCTCTTGTTGTAGTTTAGTTTCAAAAAGTTTTAAAATTTTTATTATTTAGTTGACGTTTGAAGAATCTTTTCACATTACTTATTTTATCTTCTAAATGGTTTTTATTTACTTCAATTGAATTTATTTGTTCCCGTAAATATTTCTTGTGAACAGCGTCATTATCGTTTTCCGGAGACTTTAAATTAGTTACTTTGAAATTGTTCATATCTAAATCACCTTGAAGAGTGTCTCCGATTTGATCCACAAAGTAAGGTTTCGCTTTATTTATCCACGCTGTAGTGTTAGGTTTTTTAGTTTCTAAAGATAAAGAACCTCATCCAAACTTGTTTTTGAATAAAACTTATCAAACCTGCTACCTCTTGCTGTAGTTTAGTATCATTAATAACATTTTTATTATTTAGTTGACGTTTGAAGAGCCTTTTCACATTACTTATTTTATCTTCCAAATGGTTTTTATTTACTTTAATTGAATTTATTTGTTCCCGTAAATATTTCTTGTGAACAGCATCATTATCATTTTCCGGAGATTTTATATCAGTTACTTTGAAATTTTCATCCAACTGATATAAAACCCAAAGTGAAAGCTGTCCACAAAACTCTTGTCCTGGTAATTGAATTTGAAATGTAGAACATTTGATTGGTTTATTCATTATCTCTTCAGTTGATTCTAATCCAAAAGAATAAAAAAAATATAAGTTTTTTGATGAGTCTTTGTACAAAGCAGAATGATGAACTCCTTTTGATCGGAAGTATGTATATTTGTTATAACATAAAATTTACCTTTCTTATATTTGAGATCATTTATTTCATCTCTCATACAATAATAAAACGGTGATATATTTAACTCATTCGCCCATCTCATAAGTTGAAAGTTTGTGGTTGTATCAGTTCCATATTTATTGAGGAAGATATTCATTTTCAAAAGTCATTTTGAAGTTCGTTTTGATAAAACCTACCTATGATTTGTTCTTTGTCATGATCGATTAATTCAATTAATTTGTTGGAGGTGATGTGGTGTTTACTTTATCAACGATGAATATTTCGTTTGTCCAGTATCCAACATAACCTTTTTCGAATTTACTTTTATATTTGAAAATACAAACGCAATCTCCAACTTTAAATTTGGGTTTAATATTTAAATTATTTATTTCATTTTCAAAATTATTAAGTGAAGAAGAAAACTTTATAATATCTGGATTTTGACCAGCTTCCATTGGAGAAACACTGATGGAAGAATGAATTTTATTATTATATTCTGATACTACAGTGGGTAAAATCTTTAACCATTTTTGAGACTTTAGTTCTGTGAATTTTTTAAACAGTTTTGAATTAAGAGTCCTTTTAAATCTTTCTACTACTACAGCTTTTCCCTCGTTATGAGTACTGTAAATTTCAAAGCAATAGATTACATATTTTTATTATAAACTTCGCTTTCTTTATCTACCCATAACTTTTTGGGTTTTCTGTTTCATGATCGTTTCAAAAGCATGTTTGACTGATAATCCTGTTTTGTTTTTCAAAGGAATAACCCAAGCATATCTCGTATACATATCTATAACTGTTAAGCAATATTTATATCTTCTTTCGACTGGCATATTAATTAAATCGGCTGACTATATTTCATCTTTTACTTTAACTTTTAAAAAGTTTTTAGTTTTTCTAAATTCTTTATGAATTTCATCTGCCAATCCCATGCCCAATTTCATCTTTGCTTTTAACAGTTTTATGATCAGAGCCCTTTGCATTCTCTCTTTGAAAGTTGAATTTGGAATATTTTCAAGTTCGGTTATCATTTGTCTGTCTGCTTCGTGTCTAAACTTTATGTCTTTATTTCTATATAAAATATCGTGTTTAAGCGCAGCGGCGTCAACTCTATTGACTGGTTCATCACCCGGTTTGGGTTTATCTAGTACCTGGACCAGTGTAATTATGGCCGGGAAGATGTTTTTCTCCAGGATACTTTGCCCATGGAAATCCAGGAAGAGAGCCCAATGATTTTTGTATATCTGAACCGAAATAAGTTTGGAGCGTGAGCGACAATCATTTTTATCCTATAACTTTAAAACCTTTTCCTGTGCTTTCTTCTAATCTCCTGTTACGTAGTTCTCTTATTAGTTGTAATTCTTTCAACTCGTCAGATTGTTTCACTGCGTCGCTTATACTCTTTCCCGCTTCCGCGATAGATCCTATAGCTTTTATATCTCGGATGAAACAAAGCTAGCTACTTTTATAATTTTTTTTTTACGTAGAGAAAATATTGATGAAAAGATACCGTCGCCTGAATAATCTTCGAAATTGTGATGTTCATGTTTTAAAATTAAACTCATCCTATTTTTTAACGAAGAAATTGTGGTCTGTTTTTTCAAAACAAGAGTTATCTTTCTTACAGAAGTTTCTAGATTAAAACTATAAATAACATTATTTATAACGAGGCTATAAAAAGAGGCTATTTATAAAACCGGATGTTAAGCGAAACAAGGAAGTTATTTTGTATAAGGGTATTTTTAATATGCTTTTTTTCGTTAAATATTCTAATCTAAAGTGAAGAAGGGATTATATAGGATTCTGATATAAGTTTTTTTTGTGATAGTCGGGACTGAAGGATGTGTCTTTTTTTTAATTTGTGTGTTTATTTTGCGATGATTTTACGAGTGTTTTTTTGTGTTATGACCTATATATTACTATTTACTGTTACTATTTACTATTTAAAGTAGTGTATGTGACAGCATGCTCAATTTGGTAAAAAAAATTTGTAAGTCGGGATATGGTAAAATGGCATATGGTAAAACGGCATATGTTAATGTACACATACTACTTTGGTGATAATAAACAATTTCAGCAATTTTTGTCAAAATCCTTAAAGAGTTGTGACTTGTAAAGTGTTTACAAGCAATTGTGGACGGATCGACGGACATGGGTGACAGCAATATACGCTCCACATTTCATGATAGTGATCAGGCATATCTATAGTAGTACAAGGCTATCTGTAATAATCATCTTCTTGATCACATTGTCAGATTTCATTAACTAACAAAATTAAAGCATCAGTTTATTAAAACAAGTGGTTGCCTAGCAAGATACGCCCAATTTCCTCATACATTTTTCAGTATATCAAGGGCAGTCACCTATCTGTGGCAAATCACAACAAAAATCTAATTTATGCAAGATATTGTTGATTTAAACAAAGACACATTATTTAATAAAATTCTGACATAAACTGTCACCTATATTGCCAACAAATTTTGATGAGTTTTTACTAAGTCATGGACAATAACTCAAATTCTGGTGATCGAAAAATTATCAAATTCATTCTTGACTAAGATCTCATCATTATAAGTAATCATACCAAATTTCATTTAAATCGGATGAAAACTGCATTCTCTATTGTGTTCACAAACAAATTTTGACGCTTTTTTCATAAATCAAGGGCAATAACTCAAAAACCATTCATGGAAATATAGCCAACTTTAGACTTGACCAAGATCTCATCATTATAAATATTCACACCAAATTTCAATTAAATTGGATGAAAACTGTAGTCTCTATTGTGTTCACAAACAAATTTTGACGCGTTTTTCATAATCAAGGGCAATAACTAAAGATAGTGGAACACGGCCATATACGCCCTTCACGGCATGCGGATGGTAAAAACAAAACATCCATTTTAAGTTTCATCAAAATCGGTTGAAAACTAAGAGAGTAACACCATATTCAAGATTTTGGGGCAAGGGCAATAACTCTGCTTCTAACGGTCGAAAATAGCTCAAATTTGAACTTGAATTTCCATCAAAAAAACTAGTTTTTAGAGCGCTTACAAGCAAATGTTGACGGACCGACGGACGGACGGAGTGTTTACGAGCAATTGATGTTGATAGAAGCACTTACTGTATAGAGGTTAAAGGGCAATAACTCCTCAAAACTGACGTAAGAGGCCTAAATCTTGAAAAAGCCTTAAAATTAATCAGAAGTAAACTAAACTTTCTCAAACCTTAAGATTTAGGTCCAATAACATCCATTTTAAATTTCATCAAAATCGGTTGAAAACTACGAGAGTTATAGAATATTCAAAATTTTGGGGCAAGGGCAATAACCCCGCTTCTAACGATCGAAATTAGCTCAAATTCGAACTTGATCTTCGTTTTATGAATATGTATACACATATCGAATTTAATTTGATTCCATCAAACAATCTAGTTTTTAGAGCATTTACAAGAAAATGTTGATGGACGGACGGACGTCCACATAGAGAGATGTAAAAAGTTCCCTACCAGTAGGGTAAAACTGACCTGTCTCAGGACGGTCTAATCCCAGCTCAGATTTTGGGGCAAGGGCAATAACTCTGCTTCTAACGGTCGAAAATAGTTCAAATTCGAACTTGATCTTTGTTTTATGAATATGTATACAAATACCGAATTTCATCTGATTCCATCAAAAAATCTAGTTTTTAGAACGTTTACAAGCAAATGTTGACAGACGGACGGACGGACAGGGGTGCCGATATACGTCCACATAGAGAGATGTGGGCGTATAGAAAACCGTTGGAAAAATCGTGAATATTGAACTTGTCTAATATAAATGGTCACACCAAAATTTCATTCAAATCAGATGAAAACTCTCTATCGCGTTCACAAGACAATTTTGACGCGTTTTGGCTAAGTCAAGGGCAATAACTCAAAAACCGTCAAAAAATCGTGAATATCGAACTTGTCCAAGATCTCATCAATATAAATGATCACACCAAATTACATTCAAATTAGATGAATACTGTAGTCTCTATCCTGTTCCCAAGCCAATATTGGACGGACGGACATGGGTGACGACAATATACTTCTTAAAATTATACAAAAGTCACAATAAATAATACACCATAATCCAATACAATAACAAGAATAATATATTTGCCTTGAGGCCTGTAGGTACGTATGTGCTCATGTTTATATGTAAATAAGTGGTTAAAATCATTAATATTAGCACTAATTTGACTTTCAGATTTCATTAAAATATCAGTAAAATTCGATTTATAGACAAAGGAACGAAGACGTGAGTGTCAGATATTGCCAATTTTGGCAACGACAGTTTTGAATTTTTTCTATTATTTTTATGAGTTGGAATAGAATCCTCAAAATAGTACAGTTAATCTTAAAATGTATTTGCTTTCATAAAAATATACATGAACCTTTAAGAGGCATATCCCAATCCCCCATGCCACTGGTGCTTAACTGAAGGTACAATGTCTTAATCACTGTGCCTATATAACGCTGTGCCCATATGATCTGTGCCCAAATGAGCATGTTTCTAAAAGAAGTGTCCCTAAAGTACTGTGTTTAACTGTCTTGTGTTTAAAGTATTTGTGCCTTTATGATAGTGAACTCAATTTTAAGTCATAAGTGTGGAAAATGCTTTATTCCATGGCAATAATATTGAAAGAATACTGAATTTAAGCCCTTTATTTTCTAAATTATTTTTCGATTAATTTTCCTAAAATATTCCCCCCTGAGACCTGTTTCTGTTTTAAAAAGAATAAATATTCAACATTAATTTATTTGGTAGTATCTCAATGAGCTGTTGCTATAACCAAAGAAAATATAATCAAATTTAATATTATTTCATCAGACATAAATGGTTGAATTAAAAAACATTTAGGAATAACAGCAAACAATAAGTTTATTGACATTCATCTCCATTGGCTGACCTACTTCTTCATTTTCCATTTTTCTGGGACAAAATTCATATTTTTCAATATCCAGGAATTCCTGAAACATCAAAAATACTCAGTAAAATATTTTACATAAAAAGACAAAATTGTGGGAACTTGGAGGCGGTGATCGACAGCTGAAGTCTGGAACTGTAGACCTATGAGCCTATCGTATAGGCCTACATAAATTAGTAAAGCAGAAAGGGACCAACCTTTGTCTA